TTTGGAGCAAAATTTGGCATCCTCTCGGTCCGGGCTAGCCCTTTCCCAAAGGTGCTCGCCCTTTTTTCGCCCTTTTTGGCCCTTTTTGGAAAAGCCCGTTTCTTTCGCCCTTTATAGGCCTTGACAGATTATGCTAATATTTTCGTGAAATTATGCTTTTCGCATTGCTGAAAAAAATTCAGGATTATGCTATTTTTATTCTAAAAGTTATCATATTATGCCTTATATGCTCACATATGCTGCTAATGTGTATAATGGTTCTGTGCAAAATAACAGGGGAATTTTTTTGTAGAGGGCGTTGTACTGTAGCAGCAAAAGTTCAACGGGGTCAACGCACCGTCCGACCTAGCTACGACCGTCACTGATTGTAGTGGACTGGACATGTTATCAAGGGAGTCGTAAACCTACATATGTACGACTTCCTGGTGCATCTACATACGTAACATGTACAATGTACATGACATACTTGTACCGGTACTGGTACTTGTAGAACATGTACAACGTCAACGGTATGGAATTTAGGCCTTGACGGATTATGCTAATATTTTCGCGAAATTATGCTTTTCGCACTGCTAAAAAAATTGCAGAATTATGCTATTTTTTATGCTAAAAGTTATCATATTATGCCGCATTGTGCTCACATATGCTGCTAATGTATTATGATGGTTCTGTGCAAAATAACAGGGGAATTTTTTGGTAGAGGGCATTGTACTGTAGTAGCAAAAGTTCAACGGGGTCAACGCACCATCCGACCTACATTGTAGCTACGGCGTCACTGATTGTAGTGGACTGGACATTTATTTATTTATTTATTTATTTATTTATTCAACATCTCCTGGCCCGTCCGAAGACTGCCAATAAACATGAGAGGTCAGGTGATAGCCAACCACGGCAAGCTAAAAGAGAAAAAAAGAAAGATGCTGTCAGAGAGGGAAAGGAGATAGGGAGAGAAAAAGAAAGGGAGGCACATTAATAATACATGGGATCACTTCGGATGAGACAGTGTGGAAAGCTGGACTGTGAATTTCCTGATATCCTGGCATGTCTTAATGCTAGTAGGCAGGTTAGACCAAAGGGAGTATGCTGAGAAGAAAGGGGATTTCAAAAACAGAGAGGAACTAGCTCGGGGCAGTGATAAGGCATTGCGTGTTGGTCTAGTGGTAACAAACCAGTTGTACTTGGCAATATGTTTCGGGACTTGGGCTAGGAAGATTTTTTGCACAAGGATACAAAGATGCTGCTGATGTCGGGCAAGAAGAGGGTGCGTGGAAGCAAGTTTATAAAGACAAAGGGAGGCAAATGTTTGGTCTTTTCGAAACAGAATTTTCAGAAGCAAGCGTTGATGTACCTCCAGTCTGTGGAGTAAAGTCTGAGACAACCCGCACCAAGCTATATCGCAATAGTCAAATATAGGCAAAATGTACGACTTAAAGAACAATTTTCTGCAGTTATCATTCAAGTGTTGGCAGTGGGGTTGTAGCATACCTAAGGACGCACTCGCACGCTTGCACACAGACTGGACTTGTGGAGACCAGGAGAGTTGGCGGTCGAGAATAACGCCCAGGTGCTTGTGCTCGTTAACAACTTTAATAGGTGTACTATTTAGACCAGGAAAATACAGAAGTTGAGTGGGGGGCGAGGGAGAGAAGAACATGGCCTCGGTTTTGGCGAGGTTAGGCTTCAGTTTCCAGGTTTCCATCCATGTTACTGTAGCGTTGACCCCGGACTGCATGGAGGCCGTGAGGTTGTCTGCCGAGCTGTCGGAGCACATCAGAGCAGTGTCGTCAGCAAAAAGACTTACATTTGGTACAATGGCTGGCAAGTCATTAACGTACAGTAGAAATAGGAGCGGCCCAAGTATGGACCCCTGGGGTACCCCAGACACGACTAGTAATGGGTCTGATAGGGAGGTAGATACTCTGACAGTCTGGTGGCGGCAGGAAAGATAGGATGAGAGCCATTGCAGGGCTGGACCGTGTACCAAGAAGACGGACTCTAGCTTTGCAAGCAGACCACGATGCCAGACGGTGTCGAAAGCTTTCGCTAGGTCAAAGAACACGATGCCAACATGCCGCCTGAGGTTCCGCTGGGTGTAGATGTCTTGTACTAGACGTGTTAGTTGGAAAGTTGTGGAGTCTCCACGGCAGAAACCGGATTGAGATGGTGAAAGCGCTGGGGTGACGTGGCAGTACAGAGACTCAAAGAAAATACGTTCATGTTATCAAGGGAGTCGTAAACCTACGACTTCCTGGTGCATCTACTTGTACTTGTACTTGTAGAACATGTACAACTGTATGGAATTTGATGCGAACAGGCGGATTAGTCCAATTTATACGATTTGTATGCAATTTGCCTCGAATTATGCGATTATTCGATTTTGGTAGGAATTATGCGAAAAATTATGCTAGCATAATCCGTCAAGGCCTAATGGAATTTGATGCGAACAGGCGGATTATTCCAATTTTATGCGATTCGTATGCAATTTGCCTCGAATTATGCGATTATTCGATTTTGGTAAGAATTATGCGAAAAATTATGCTAGCATAATCTGTCAAGGCCTAGCCCTTTATTGCGTTTTTGGTGAATATCGCCCTTTTTGAGCTGAAAAAGTGCTAAAATTTGTTTGCTCATGCATGCGATCACAGTTTCCGAGTGCTCGATGGGCCTTGGCACGCCGCTTTTTTGGAGGGGCAACAAGTTGGTGAAGATTGTACCCGGTGGGGGTGTACACAATGCTGTAAAAGTGGGTTTTTTGAACTTTACTTCCTGTCTGCTGTTTTGCCTTTCGTGGACCCATAAATGGAAGAGTGCCGCGGTATTCATTTCTCAGCTTGGGTTCATATCTGAACATGTATCATGGCTATGCTTCACTGAAAAAGAGCACTTTTTGCCTGTTTTCACTGAAAAAAAGAGCACTTTTTCAGCATATTTTGAGGGACGCGAAAAGCACTAAGTGCGAATTAAAAGAGCACCTTTGGGAAAGGGCTAACGACGGCTACTTTGGCCAACCGGACAAAAAAGAAGTTGAGACCAAAGAGAATGTTTAAAATTTTCTTGCGCATGCTTATGTGATAGTGATGTAATAGACAGTGTGTCAGGTCGCTACAGTACTCCCCCGCCAGTGGTGAGGTCAGGAGGAGCGAAGCACGATAAACAAGAAAAAGAGAGAGAGAAGAGAAAGGAAGCGCGGCATGTACAAGGCGGAAAGGGAAAAGTATAATACAATATGTACAAGAAGCTGCATGTGTGAAATTCGTGGCACAAAGGCCGAAACAAAAATCAGAAAAGCAGGAAAGAGAGAGATGCATGATCTGACAGAGCTAGAGGTAGGTTAGCGTGTCAGAGGTGGAGAGCATGTCAGATCAGAGGCAGAAATAAAGGAAAGAGGAACGACATACAGTCAACTTCGCTCATAACGACACTCAGCGGGGCATCAAAAAGGTGTCCTTATTCGCGAAGTGTCGTTATACCCGAAGTCTCATTTTATGTATTACAGTGGGATGGGACCGGACTTTGCTCTGTCAATGGAAATTCTGTCGTTATTCGCGAATTGTCGTTATATCCGCAGTCGTTATTAGCGAAGTTGACTGTACGTAGAGTCTACGCGTGACCTGGTTACTTACTTTCTGCCTGGTCTTGTCTACACTACACTCTACAGTCATGTACTCATCATGGTCTCATGATCATGACAATCATGATTGTAGCATTGTAGGTGTTTTTGGGGGGGGGGGGGGGGAATGGACGCTTGTCGGGGACCATGAAGAAAGGGCCGTCCATGGCGCGGCATGCATATGGGGAGGTATATACGTGGTGATGGCCATGGCCATGACTCCGTCGTTCCAATATTTTTGCCTAAATCTGGATTTCCCAGAAAAGTGTAACTCCTGCTCAGCCACTGGCACTACCTCTACCGTCTACGCGTGGTAGCAAGCTTGGTAGATCTACGCGGTAGATCTCTTCGTGGTAGATCGAATAGCCGCAAATTATTTGCAAAGAGTCTTGTAGATCTACTAGTCGTTGAAGCTACCAGCGAAACAATCTTGCTGCTTGTAAAAGATGATCGTTTGGCAAGTGAGCAGTGCTGGAGCTAGCTGGGAGAAACCTTGGCAGGTTAGCGTCCACTACTACTAGTCTTCGCTTGGAAATTCTGTGGGGTGATTGCAGCAAAGCCCTGCCGTTGTCGAAGCATTCGCCATTGGCTTGGTTTCATGCCGGATGTAAAACATGGTAGAAGGTGAGCGAGCGGGTGGCCATGACATACCATTTTCATAAATGATGTGCGGAGAAAGGCTGGCCAAGCACAGGTTTAGCTTGCACCCGACCGGCTCAGCCAAATGCCCCATTGAAGAAAGGATCCGGTCTGGTCAGAAAATGCGAAGTAAGTCTGCAAAGGCAAGAGCCTCAGACTGTCCCTTGTGCGGCGAGCGTAATAACCGAATAAGCGTCTACACAGGTGCTGGGTACTAGTACTTGGGCGTCGCCGTGTGACAGTCTTTCTGTGTTCTTCTGCCGCGCCCAGCTAGTTCGATTTCCAGGGCCCAAAGTTCAAGGATACTTTGGTGAATTGAACATGCAGCACCCCAACAGGTGGACCGGCGATACGCATAGATAGGGTGCTCACAAAGCATGCACCATGCTTCACCACACACAGATGTCAACTGCTACTAGTATTCCGGCGACTGCTTCTACACACACATGTGCAGACCTGTTATCCATGGACCTCTTGCTAGGTGCTAAAAGACTTGCTTTGACAATCAAATAATCACCGCTGCTGCATTCAGTACATACCAGTATCCCGTGTGTACATACTGATCACGAAACACTACCTGCAAATTACCTGCAAACTACACACTGCACTGAGCGATAACAAGTGAAATCTCAGCTCTTAAATAATTAATTGTAGCTGCTGTGACGTCACATGCGCCTGCACTGCTGCACGGGCACTGGGACATGCGGTCAAGCGTGTGGGACTGCAGTTGAGAGGTTATGCAAGTGATTTCATGGGGTGAGTCAGTGGAACCACTTATTGGCGCTGAGTATACTGCAGAACCGCTTATGGGCATTGAGTATACTGCAGAGCCGCTTATGGGCATTGAGTATACTGCAGAACCGCTTATGGGCATTGAGTATACTGCAGAACCGCTCATGGGCACTACTTGCTACGTGAGTTGAGTTGCTAGTGCAAGTGCAGCGCTGTGCGCGCCTTCGCCGCCGAAGCATCTCAACTGATGTGAATGTGATCACATAACCTGTACGAATTCAGCTGGACTGCACTTGCTACACGTTGGTGTTATGTCCGCTTGTCTCATCTGTAGGCGTTCTGGTTTGCATGCTTTTCCTTGCGTACAGATATCGCTACAGTACGTGCAGTGGGACAAACAGATATGCGTCGCGGAGATGCATCACACGCAATTGCGCCACTAACTGCCTAACCAACAACTGGTCTAACTATGGTTCTTGCAACGCGAATTGCGGCTACGGTACTATAAGAAGACGAAGGTAGGTTTGTGTAACCATCAGTTTCTGAGGATTCTTGACCAAGCTAGCGGATTGTGGAGAGGAAGACTCTCTCTCCTTGTATGGCTTTGGGCAATTTCTTGTCCAGTGATGCATGCTTTCTTAACTGTGCTAGTTTTAGTTGAAATCAAACCCATTCAACACGTGGAATTATAAGCGCGCTCGGTATGTAGTTAGCAGTCCATAACCCGTGTATGTCACTAGATTACCGTCGGCGGAACCATAATGAGTTTAAACAAATTGGTGAATCACTTTTAGAGAGGGGAAGTAGAGGACAATAGGACAGTTTAAAAGAAGGGGTTACAAGTAGCCTCATCCGACGGACATCTGGCTAATACAGTTGCCTGGGAATTGGTGACAGCGTTCGGCAGTCGGGCCACAGTGCATGGTGATGCACTCACACTGTTCTCATCCAACCTACCCGAGTCACCCGGTCCAACATTGGCCTGGCAGTGGTCACACGAATGACGAAGCACGACGCGATTGGTTGGCTAAATTGATAGCTCTGTCTGGTCAAGCTGACTTTAGAAAAAGTAGGCTTGCATGGCATGCACTCCTAGCATGGTTATGCACAGTCAGTGTTGAATGTGATCATTGGGATAAACTGCATGCTCTTGTGTGTACAATCAAGGCTACCGGTCGCATGCTGTGTGTTTTGTACGGTACGTTCTGTCACCTAGATATGTGAGGCGGTACCCATCGGGAGGTGGACGGAGCTGTCCCAATCTCTGGGGCAATGCTCTGTGCTACAGCAGGAACCGATGTGCAGTCAACTGCGGCTACAACAGTAAGGGATTGTTCGAATGATCAAGACCATTTCTCACAATCATAGATGGTGTACTTCTATTTACAAGACTTGTTTCAGTTCATTCAAAAAGGCCTTTGGCTTTGCCTGGTGTTAGGATCTTAGAAGAGCGACTTTGGCTGTAGTAGATTGTGAATTGTGCAAAGAGTGTAGTTCGGAGTTTGTGAGTTTCAAATATTTGTTTTGTACAAATCCATGCGTGAGAGTGCCTCGGGAGGGCTATTTAGAGGGTAAACCGCATAAATACTGATTGAAGGCATCACAGTGTTCAGCTTCCAATCCCTGTCCTAGTTAATAAAGCATTCCTTCTTCTCTTTGTAAAGCTATTGCATGCCGCTATGTTGTCTACTCTACCCAGATTGGGGAAACTGGGGCAGTTGCAATGCAAACTGCTACTCGTCTGGCTACCGCTATCGCCGCCGTTATATCTACCGTAAACCAAGCGGCGGTGGAAGGGCCTGCCCAAGCACACTCCAGTCTATCCGCTGCACTGCGTGCTGCCGTCGCAACTGCGTGCTGAACAGCTGGGGCAACTATGGATCCTGCTCGAGCAGCTGTGGCGCGGGAAGACAGGTGCGCCAATGTACTACCCATGCATTTCTTGAGTGCATTCTGGCTGCAATGCGGCATGTGTTGCATAACGTGTGAAGAGTGGTGGTATGGCCAACGAGAACAAGTAGAGAAATATTGGCAGTGAGTGGGCCTAGCAGATAGAAATTCCAAACTGTCGGAAGCTGACCTCTTTACACGTTGCTGTATCTGTCTTGCTTCCAATCAGGTCCTGATAAATGTGAGAAAAGCGGAAACAATGTGATAACGACATGAAGTGTTTGGTTGACGCATCGGTCGATGAACACCTGCATGATTGTTATAGCTCAGCATTGCCTCTGGCCTCATGTTTGTGCTGTAATGTTGCAGACTCGCTATCGCTACGTTGCACGCTACCAAAGCTGTGGAGGTTATGCCTGCTCTAACTCCCGTACTTCTACCCGTTACTGCGTCCAATACACATCCAGGTCATGCCAAGTAAGTCGCTGCCGTGGCACCGGGGTCCTGTTATACATTACCTGCCTTGTCAATGTTCCTAAGGGTTGTCATTGTGACTGGAAGACAGGCCGTTACAAGCTGGCTCACCGCATCATCAAATCAATTGTAGATTACAGTTGCTATGGTATTGACATCACGAGTCAGCGTTTGGCTGTTGTGAAATACAGTCCAGTTTGGGTGTAGTACTTGATGACGGTCTGAATTCTAGTACAGCCAATCCTGTGACACACGCGCACCCTCTAGACCAGGCACAACCTTGAAGTCGAGCAGAGAGAACAAAACATGCTAGCTTTTATAGAGAAGACAGGGCGTAATGGATGTTCTGCAACGGAAAGACAGAGAATCAGTAAAATTATGTTAGGAAATGAAGTGTGAATGTATAGACATGAGCTCAGGGAAAGTTCAGAAGAGAATGGCAAAGGAAATGTGTGCATATTTTTACAGCTCTACGGGTAAGGATATTATCTGCGATGGGTTTGATACTCATCCTGTTCTTCTTTGTCTGCTTCAGGTGAACAACTGGGGCAGCTGGGGCAGTTGCGGATACAGCAGTGGCTCGTGTGGCTCCGGCTACCGCTACCGAAGGCGCTACGTGCGCGTCAACCAGTACTGTCGCGGTGCAAACTGCCCCAACGTCAACCAGGCTCAGTCCTGCTCAAGGTGCTGTCCGAAGAGCTGCGTGTGGACCAGCTACAACTCGTGGACTGGCTGCACTGCCTCCTGCGGTAGTGGATACCAGTACGTTAGAGCAGCACACATGTAGTCACAGAGCATTTCAGGAAGAGGGGTACCGTATTTTCTGGAGTTTGAGCAGCACCTATTAAACACCAGTAGTTCACCCAATAAAAAAAGGTGGGGCTTCTACTACGCAGGTCAAATTAACGGCAATAAACAGGGTAGAGGTCTGTGTTTCACAACAATCTGGGTGCAGCTTATACTCCAGTGCGGCTTATGTTCAGGAAAATGCTGTATTTCACATCACCATCACATGATAAGTTAGGACAGCCATGCATGCTTCTAATCCAGTCAATGCCCAGCCGATGATGTTGGCCGTGTTCGTTCCCCTCTATACCTCCCGTGCACACTTTGCACCAACATGGTCAACGCTATGTGCCCGTGAATTCTTTCTAAATTCTGGTCTGTGATCACTCCAAACAAAATCCCACTCCAGGCACAAGTACCTGCCACTGCATGGTTTGTATCACAGATTACAACATACACCATAGGCAAGGCCGTATCAATCAGCAGCCGTGACATTCCCCCCTCTGAAACTTCACATTGGTTGACATTGCCAGGGTACTTGCTCAGCGGATGGTGCTTTGTGAGGCCCTTGCACATGTGTAACATGTCCAAGTTTAAAGCATACTGGGTGCATGTGTGCATTGGGTCCTGATAGCGTGTTCCATGGCGTGTTAATTGTATTCTCATAGTGTGTTCCATGATGTGTTTGAAAATAATGTATTCTGGTAGCGTGTTCCATGGAGTGTGCATTGGGTTTCGATGATTTTTTCCATGGTGAATGTCTTGGGTCCTGAATTCTGAGAGTTTGTCTCATGGCGTGTACATTGGGTCCTGATGATGTGTTTTCCACGGTGTGTGCTGTGCTCTCAAGGTATCGGTACCGCAGAGTCAGCACATCGGCGTCTTGCGGGGGAGGTTGCCCCGGCAGTGGGACTGACACGAAGTCGTGCTCCAACTATGTCAAGCGTGATTGTGTTCTTGGAAAATGGGGCCTGTACACACCTTGCACAAATCCATGTGGTTCAGGTGAGTGATTCCTTTTATTTCTTCGTAACCAGCAGGTGTGGGATTTGATATAGCAGGAACTGCACCTCAGTCTGGAAAGGAAAGGTGTTACGCTTTTTTATGCTTGTTCACTTTGTGAAATGAAAGAAAGTAAGACAACAGACGCATTCTGTATCGGTGCAATACACCTACGATGACGTGCGTGCGCCCACGTACACGTGTGTGTGTGTGTGTGTTTGTACCAAGTATTACCTTCACTGGGGGCAGGGGTACCTGCAGTTGGATCCCGGGACGGATACCCTGATGCCGTCAATCCTTTTTCTGCACCTTGTCCTCACCCACTTACTGAGGTGTGGTGAGCCCATAAGTGGGATCATTTCAAGTCCACCCTAGTTTGGGGATTTCAGGGGGTGTCGGCCGTTGGGTGGTTCAATGGCCAATTGAGTCATCTTTCCAAGATTCCTTTTGAGTCTCTCTCCCCTCTCCCGGGGAGACCCACGTGACCAGTTTTGGCAGTGAGCAAGTACAAGTACAAGTGTGTTTGTGTGCGTGTGCACACACGTGTACGTGTGTGTGTGTGTGTGTGTGTGTGTGTGTGTGTGTGCTTGCGTGCATGTGTGTGTACGTATGTGTGCGCGTGCCTGTGTTGGCTGTCAGAATGGTAGCCATGACAGATTTTCTAAAGGCCATCGTTATAGATGTCACACACAAGGACAAGACCGTATTTATCAGGTTTTTCCAGCCGAAATCTTGGAAACCTTCCATTATAATGCACTGTGCTGTATTCACGCTGTGTTGTGTAGGCACACAAACTCGCACCAGACCGGTCATTTCCCAGGCTACATGCGGTGGAAGCTGCGGATCCACAAGTCAAACTATTGGCTGCACAGCATACATCAACAAGGACTGTACGGTAAGTGAAGCAACCATGTTACCACATATACCTCTATATGTTCCTGTTGTGTTGAAGTAGCCACTCGTCTTCAACGCTAGTGTGGTCTTACGGTATTTATATTTCCATTTTTTCCTCTGTCAAATGGGACTTGTAACTACAGTAAAACCTGTGACTAACGACCACCCCGGCCTGGGGCCAGAGAATGCGGTCTTTAGTGGCAGGCGGTCCTTAGTTAGAGGTTTGCACTGCACAACCATAATGTGAGACCGTCCGTGCCTGGCGAAGTGGTCTGTAGTAGCAGGCTGGTCGCTAGTCACGGTGGTCTGTAGTTACAGGGTTTACTGTAGTACAGTTTGTTTGCCTGAGATACGCTTCTAGGAACAGTTGTGGAGACATGATTTTACAGAATCATCAGTCTGAAATACCGGCTGGACCAGAAGTACTGTCTTTCATGACCGTGCATTACGCCATACCCGTCACATGACCGTGGACATACAGTGCACCTCGGCTGTAAAGTACAGATATTATGACCCTTGTGGAAGGTCCACTGTATGTAGATAGGTAGACATGGAGTTAACTTAAGGCCTCATCCGGGTACTTCACTGTGCTCCTGTTTGCTGAGCTTGTCACGGTGTAATTATTGAAATGCCACTTCCCACCTCAATATGAACACCCTAGGAAAAATGCTCTAGGGTTGCTGCGCTTCCTCGCTTTTCTTGCTATCAATCTGCTCTTTTTTGGGCAAGCACATCGCTATATTTACTGTATTCTCCGGAGTATATGCTCTGCACCCAGAATGTGTTGGTCCATGAAATACTGGCATCTACCCTATACTATATCAACATTCATTTTGACTATCGTAGTTTAAAGTCTCAATGGCTTTTTTAGGTTGAATTATGAGCGTTTTAAAGTGCGGCTTATACTCTGGAAAGTATGGTACTTTCCTCAGTGGATGGTGTCTCTGATGTGCACAGCGGTCATGTGGACTGCGGAACCGTCTCAACACATCACATGACTGACTATACTGTTGGTCTAGTCCTTGCATTGGAACATAGAGTATGTTGGTGTGTTCATCCTGGCATCTTTGCTGATTCCTCCCTTTGGTCCGGCCCGTCCAGGTTTCCAGTTGGGGCAACTTTGGTGTATGTGATTCAAAGTGCTCCGTTGGCAAGGTACACAGGTATCGCAAGATCACTAGCCCGGCGGTGTGCAGAGGATCGTGCCCGTACTCTCTTTCGGTACGTATCAGCGCTCTCAGTTGAGTCTGGGCAACACTGCAATCCCCATGCACATACATCTCTTATTTTTGTGTCTTGCAATATGGCTGTCCGCAGCCAATCCCGCACTAGTTATGGCTGATGTATGTAGGAAGAGGGAGAGGGAGAGGGGGGGGGGGGGATTGATGACTGACATGGACAGTCATAGGTGAAGGAAATTCTTGTGTACACGTATCTACTCTCATTCTAGACGGACAACCTGCTTGCATGTACCTGCTTTCAGGCATGAAGCACCTCCTAGTATTTTAACCCTCCTTTATTAGTCTTGCCTGTCGTTATTAATGTGAACTCTCTCTCCCTCTCTTCCTCTGTCTCTCTTTCTCTGTGTGTTTGTCTGTCCGTCTGACTCTCTCCTCTCTGGCAGGATTCAAAATCATGTGGATTAGTCAACGGTGGTTGTGACCAGCGCTGCAACAATGGAGTGTGTAGCTGCAATGCTGGCTACTATCTGACCGGCACCACTACGTGTCAGGCAAAGTCCTGCAGCGCTCCCACAATCACCTCCTATTGCCCCAGTGGAAAACTCTGCAAGAAGCCCTCACCCTCCTGCACCAGCAGTAAGTGCCCTCTACCCTTCTCTCTTGCACTGTTAGCATTGTGCTGCTTCGTAGCAGGCGGAGCTGGTGGTCCTCGGTACTTGTCAGTGGGTGATGTTTAGAAGTGCATGGCATCATCGTTGCCGGCAGATGACGTCGTCTGTGCATGAGCCTTGACGGCAAGTTGTTGTCGTCATTGTTGTCGCTGTCGTCTCCAACATCCTCATTAGCGTTCTCATTGTCATTGATTGTATAGTTTTCCCCGGGAAGTTTGAACAGACTGTCTCCCAGCCTTCTTCCTGGGTGCCCCCTAGTCGATTGTATGATTCTGATTCGCAAGCAGCCAAAGTGGCAATGGGGGAATGAATGGTTAGCGCTAGAACAATTGCTAGCTAGATGTGCAGCAAATACCAGTTAGGTTGTTATGGGCTTCGGGGAGTGTGTTTGACAGGTATGGGTCATTGTTCTCAAGTGGTCCAGGTCCACTTTGGTCTACAAACCGTTATTGTGTGTGTGTGTGTGTGTGTGTGTGTGTGTGTGTGTGTGTGTGTGTGTGTGAGAGAGAGTGTGTGTGTGTGTGTGTGTGTGTATGTGTGTGTGTGTGTGTGTGTGTGTGTCTAGGCAAGTACCTGTACTCCTCAACATGTACACTGAAGTGTCCGCAAGGTTACAGTTTGAAAGGTAGCCCATCGGTCATCATTTGCCTGGCCAGCACAGTTTGGACTGATCACAGCACTGCCTATTGTGAACTGGATAACAAGCCACCTACTGCTGTGAGTAGTAATAATACTACCCGGTTATAACGTTGTTCAGACATTTCTTCATCCATTATCACATTGGACATTGGACATCTTAATCTTTGAAAGGAAACGGGTGTGACTTGTCGGAGGAGATGTCCTGCACCATAATAATGCATGGCTTGTCATGCTCTTTTCGTGTGTGTATATAGACTTAGGAATATGCTGTGATGTGCCAGTTGCGGTATGTACATGTATCATTCATCCCTTACCTCTATTACCTGTCGCGTGCTCTCTCTCTCTCTCTCACTCTCTCTCTCTCACTCTCTCTCTCTCACTCTCTCTCTCTCTCTCTCTCTCTCTCTCTCTCTCTCTCTTTCTCCCCTCTTCCTAGCTAGCAGCTACTTGTGCTGGATCTTGGTAACAAACATTAATGATGTTTTGAAGTTAATTGGTCAACTGATCGTGCAATATTTCTCTGATTATGAATGGCCTTGCGTTACTGTTTCCGCTCAGATTTCCATTTCCAGGACGTACGTCAATGAGAACTCACCCAGTGGTACCGTGGTCGGCTCGTTCACAACTGCAGATCCTAATCCTAGTGACTCGCACTCGTACTCGCTTACCGACTCTGCCGGTGGAAAGTTCCGCATCTCTGGCAGCACCCTGTACACGCTGTTTGTGCCCAACTACGAGACGCAGGCACACTCGTGAGTACTCGCCGTCCTACCCATGCTATGCCCGGCACTTTCTAGGTCCGGTAATGCTGCACTGTGAAGATTCAGTGTAATGTCCAGTGGAACTCATTTAGTACATACCAGTGCTCTTGCTTAGATCCAGAGCACGAGTGCATTGATCCATCCTGAAGTATGTTGGGACAGGAAGTACGTTGGGTACTAAGTACGCATTCCAGCTGCCCATGGGGCATGCCTCATTACAATTCTATTGTATTTACAAGGTCCGTACAAATCTGTACTGTGCAGCCGGGTTTCGGTGTATCCAAGGTCAATCGTTTGGCCTAGTGTAATGAAAAATCATCAAAAATTGTATGTAATATCCCAGGGTAGGTTTTATCCATAGTACATGTACGATATATTTCACTGTATCCAGTACTATCCACAGTCCACTCAGATGTTCCTCTTTACACTGAGTATGATGATCGTTAAAGCATTCGACCTTCCAAAAATACAATGATGTTCCTCTACTCCTCTACTCCATGCACTCTTCAGCTAACTAGCTGCTACCCTCCATAGCCATTCAGGGGCGTCGCACACGGTACGGTCACTACGGTATTGACGGTACCACTTTTTGCCCCAGATACCACGTGAATCAATAAAATACACTGATCTGGGATCTAAAATTCCACAACTTTCGTCTCACCCACCTCTCCCCCACGAGTAAATTGTACTTCAGATGGCTGACCGTACCACACTAAAATACCTTCCGACGCCCCTGCCATTACATACACCAAACAATTCCAACAAAGAAGGGTTATAGGTACTGATACTGAAATTTCTCCTGACAGCTGTTTCGCCGACAAACAAAAGGCTCGTCAGAGAAGGCGATACTGTAGAAAGATAGTCTGATAGATGTGGCCAATTTTTTATACCGTAGAAAAAGGGCGCAAGATACTGGGCCAGGTGTGAAACTGAGAAAGAAAAGAGAAGACTGGCTGCGATGGGTCCATGCTATTGTCACACTGCAGTCGATATCACACTGCAGTGCATTGAGTCAATAGTGTGATGCGAACGTGGGTGCTTTTTTTTACTGTATCTCTTCATACAGGTATTCGATTAAAGTAAAGAGTACGGACACTGGTGGATTCTTTCTCGTAAAGACGTTCACAATCAATATCCGCGATATCAATGAGAAGCCGACTGCTTGCAAGGTGGGTCTGGGTCTGGTCAGCACAGTTCACTTTCTCTTCTTTCGTGTGCTGCCTACTTGGGGGAGAAATCGAACTAATATTGTACATAATGATTGGATTCTTTGTAATGATTTTGCATAGTTATTTGAAGGCGAGCAGTCCCAGAGTAGTATACATGTGCCGGACCATGACAGGCTCCTCAGTTGATATAGAACATTTATGAAAGGAGTTGTTGAGATAGTGCTCTTCGCCATATCCTCTCGCAGCTGTCATCGACCACAGTCAGGGAAAACCCCTACCTGGACACCACCGTCGGCACGCTGTCAACATCCGACCCAGATGCATCCCAGAGCTTCACCTACTCCCTGTTGAGTTCGGCCAGCGGCAGATTCAAGTTGATTGGAAACACAGTCAAGGTGAGCACTAAAAATTAAAAATGACTTATAGTTATACGCCCGCTTGTTTGAGAGACTTATCCCCTCTCCCCTGACTCACTTTTGAGACGGTCTGCATTCAACACTGATGATATATGGGCGAAGTGGTGGCCCACCAATCCGAATGTCTTCGCTTGATGTATTCCTCAACACGTAAGGTGATGTGGCCGCAAATCCGGCTAACTTTATTTACATACTTCCATAGCCATAAGGTCTTGGTAAGCTACAGTTGTACGTTTGTGAGTGAAGTCAAAAACTAGCAATGCATATCTCAGGTTGATGTTGACATTTTTATGAACATAAAAATGAGCGGGCTCCTGGCAGGTCTCCCTCCCAGGTTTTCGAGCAGCTTTCTAGCCATACAAACGTTTCCTGCAGACCGATCCCAGCATTTTTCCATACAAACGTTTCCTGCAGACCGATCCCAGCATTTTTCCGGACGCATTGTGTTGTTTGTGACTGCTGCTGTATCATCTGTGTTCTCCCCTCATAAAGATTGCCCTGGCCAACACCAGATGCCTGGCAGAAGGTGGTGGCAAGTGTGTGATCAACTACGAGTCGTCATCGCTCAACAAGTTCTCCATCACGGTTCGCACCACAGACAACGGTTCACCTAGTCAGTACTACGATTGTAAGCTGACCATTGACGCGACCAACGTGAATGATCAACCCAGGAATCTGCAGCTCAATGGATACACGATTAAAGAAGGCAGCGCCATCGGCACTCAAGTCGGTACGTACGTCTTTCAGGAAATCACCGCGCTTCTTGGTTGGGGTCCCACTGCAAGTGTCAGTATGGTGATTGGACCTAACATTTTTTATTTGAGTGCATGTGTGTGTGCGTGCGTGTGTGCCTGGGAAGTGGAATGTAAATGTTCTGGGTTTCTCGAGCTCATTCACAAGCTTACCCAGTATTAACTCCATGGAATTGGAAGGCATCCTAAGTTTAGTTTGGAATGGTAAGCCATTGGACGCAACTCTCGCCTCCCCCCTTGAAATGCTCGAAAATTAGACCTGGAAGCATCCCACTTCATTTATTCACGGCAACACGGGATAGAAGATGATACTATGTGTACTACTGTAGTGATCATCGTGATCTTAGTGTGTCCTGCATGCCTATACCTGTGTATCAATCTATAGTGTCCTCTAGCATGAATGCATGCCACTGTGTCTGGGAGTAAGCTGCATCAGTTTGGAACGCGTGCATGTCGTACGGGTATGGCATCACTGGAAGCACCTTAATTAAACTATGTGACTGGATATCGGAATCACGATGCTATGGTGAAGTTTTGGCCAAACCTCTGAATGTTCATTTATGGTACTGTGGCGAATTGTTCATCTCATTCTTTTCCACTGTAGGTTCTCTGAGCAGTTCAGATGAAGATGTCAGTCAATCAACAACCTATTCACTTGTAGACGACGATGGTGGCAGGTTCAAAATTTCCCAGAACAAGTTCATTGTTGCGGCAAAGGTGGCTAACTTTGAAACGCAGACTAGCCATCACATCACCGTGAGAGCCACTGACAACGGCTCACCCGCCCTATACGTAAGTCCTGCATGTCTTGTGTGTGCTAGCTGTTAGTCTGTTGGGCTGCGCGTGCCCAATTCACCACAATGTCGTACAGGACTGATATCGTGTGTTTCTGCCCAGCATGTTCAGCCTGTGCATTGTGTAGATATCGTACATGCAGTTGTATGTAGTACTATGTACGCACGTGCAGGCATGCACGTGCTTGTACCGCTTTATGTATAGCACGAGAGAGATGACATGGCGCACTTCTGATAGAGAACTAAAGAAGATCTGTTTAGCACAATGGCTGTCTTGTGAGTGACTGAATAGATGTCTACATTGGCGCAGTGAACGAAAATGACAAAGGGCAGGACGCCCAAGGAATTTATTCCTGACTATGCTGCGAGCAACGTCGGTGCTGATTTTGAACTCTGGCTCGAGGACATAAATGATTTCCTTTCAATCAGTGAAGTGACGGCAGCAGCTGACAAGAAACGCTTGTTCTTGAATCTGGCTGGATTAGCAGTGAGGCGCATTGTGAAAGGTCTGGTTGTCACGGTGGAGCAGACACAAGATGGCTCACCTGGAGATGAGTACCAAGCCTTGACGGACGCATTGTTGGCACACTTTCGACCGTCAACAAATGTCACGTCTGAACGTCACAAATTCCGCCAACTCCGCCAAATGGAGGGCGAGTCGGTGACTTCGTTCGTTGGGCGGCTGAGAGAAAAGGCAGATGTTTGCGAATTCAGCTCCACTTCTGTGGATACCATTGTCAACTGCCAAATTCGAGACCAGCTGATCGTGGGCCTGCGTTCTGTTGAACTTCGAAAGGAGCTGCTGAAACAGTCGAAGCTGACCCTGAACGACGCCGTCACCAAGTCAGTGGCGTTGGAAGCGTCGATTACTGACAGTAAACTGTACGATAGTACCAGAGCTAGTGACCATGGTGACGCACCGCCTGTGTTCCCCGTGCCCATCCAGCGTGTGCAAGCTGTCTCTGCAGCTGGTTCTGGATCAGAGGGAAAGAAGTGCAAATACTGCGGACGTAGTCACAAACCAGGCATGCGTAACTGTCCTGCGGCCAACGTCACCTGCAACAAGTGTGGCAAGCGAGGGCATTTTGCAGCGGTCTGCATGTCAAACAAAGTGGAAAGACACGAAGAAAGAGCCCGGCCAGTAGAGGATGAGCCTGATGAGTATGAGCATGCAAGTCGCATGTACGACTCCGCTTTCGCCGTCAGTAGCTCGGCACTCGCAGGCGACAAGACATTCCAGACTACACTCAAAGTCAATGGTGAGCTGTGCACTGGACTGTTAGACACAGGTGCAACTCGGACGATCCTCACTGATGATGTGATCAAGCCCACGCGCAAGAGTGACCGCTTGCTGAAAGCGTACAATGGCGGTGTCGTAGAGACTTTGGGCATGGCTGACGTCCACATTTCACATGGTGGCAAGAACGTGAAGTGCAGTTGTTTCGTGGTAGCAGCCAGTCAGCACTCCGTTCTCTTCGGACAGGATGTCATCAAGGAGCTGAACCTCCTGTCACAAGCAAACGTGGTGAACGTGTCACCCATCGAAATCTCTCTGGAAGACGGTTCAAAGCCTCTAGCCCAGCCACCACGACGCCCAGCTTTCAGTATCCGGGCTGACATCGAGACCGAGCTGAAACGGCTGACCAAGTTGGATATCATTGAACCCGTCAAGGAAGCCACGCCGTGGGTGTCACCACTTGTTCCAGTCCGCAAACCGAATGGAGCATTGCGACTATGCGTGGACTACAGAGAACTGAATAAGAGGGTTACACGTGAGCGCAACGTTCTTCCAACCGTTGACGAGATCACAGCTCAGCTTGATGGCGCAGGGGTCTTCTCAGTTCTGGATGCGGAATCTGGATTCCATCAGCTTCTCTTGTCAGAAGAAGCAAGGCCTCTAACGACTTTCTCATCGCACTGTGGCCTGTTCCGTTTCAAGCGTTTACCTTTCGGTATTGCATGTGCGCCTGAGATTTTCCAGCGAGTGGTGTCCGACATTCTGGAAGGCCTGCCAGGAGTCATCGTCTACATCGACGACATCCTAGTGTTTGGCTCCAATCAAGCAGAACACGATGCACGGCTAGAAGCAGTCAAGCAGCGACTGCGAGCAGCTAACCTCCAACTCAACTGGACCAAGTGCCGACTGAACCAGGACCGTGTGAAGTATCTGGGACATTGGCTAAGTGCGACCGGCTTGTCCCCAGATGATGACAAGTTACAAGCCATCCAGGAGCTGGCCCCTCCGAAATCTATCTCTGATGTGCGACGGTTCCTGGGGATGGCTACGTACCTTGGAAAGTTCATTCCGAACTTGGCCCAGATCACGGCTTCTCTGCGCAGGCTAGCAAAGCGTGATCCCTTCAGTGTGGATGATGAAGTCCTGCAGGCATTCACCTCAGCAAAGGCTGGTATAGCGTCAGCTTTGCAAGCGTTGGCATTCTTTCAACCAGCATTGGACGTCCCTACTGCTATCAGCTGTGATGCATCGCCAGACGGTTTGGGAGCAGTCCTGTGGCAGAAGAATACCAGTGGCTGTTGGGTACCAGTGACATGTGCCAGTCGCTCTCTATCAGATGTTGAGTCACGCTATTCTCAGCTGGAACGAGAAATGCTGGGAGTGGTATTCGGCCTGACTCGCTTTCGGCAGTATGTACTAGGCCGAGAAGTGCAAGTGTTTACGGATCACAAGCCGCTTATTTCTATCGTCCAGAAGCCGTTCGACGAAGTGCCACCGAGGCTTCAGAGATGGCTGGTCGCATTGATGCCCTATCGCTACAGCTTGGTGTTCGTCCCTGGCCAGCAGATGGTTTGTGCTGACACCCTCTCTCGAGCTCCTCTACCTGATCGCACAGCTTCACCTGCAGAGGCACGTTCAATGGCGGAATTCGTTAGTCTCATTCTCGAGGCTTGTCCGGTTCGTTCCAAGGATATTCGCCAGGCCACGGACTCTGATCCGACACTGAGCAGCGTCCGACAAAGAGTGGGCACATCAGTTTGGTCAGGGTGCATCCAAACGGAAGAGCCTTACTTCCTGCTACGCCATCAGCTGACAGTCATTGAAGGGATTGTCATGCTAGACAATCGCTACGTCATTCCAGAAGAGCTCCGCCCAGCGGTGCTGCGACTAGCACATGAAGGTCATCCAGGCATCGATGCATTCCGGGATACCCTTCGCGAACGGGTTTGGTGGCCAGGTCTCATGAAGGATGCCAATCTGTTTGCAGAGAAATGCTCTGAATGCTGGCGTAAACGCTCCAATCCAGCGCAACAGCTCCTCCCTACAGAGATAGAAGGTGTCTGGCAGAAACTGGCCATTGACCTTGTTACCATTGAGGGAGCCACGTTCCTGTCTGCTATTGATTATGGTTCCCGCTGGCCAGAGCTTCTACCACTGTCCAATACTACGACAACGGGTGTGATCGACAAGCTGATGGAGTTGTTCGCACGGTTTGGTCTGCCTTCAACACTCGTCTCGGATTGGGGCCCACAGTTTGCATCCACTGAGATGTCCAAGTTTCTCGCTCAGTTGGGTGTTGAGCATTGCAAGTCTAGCCCCCGGTATGCCCGCTCTAACGGTATGGTGGAGCGACTACATCGTCTGGTGAAAGAACGAGTTGCCAGCCTGAGACCTCATCTACCGCTACACCGCCGCATCACTCAAGTCTTGTTCGACATTCGCAATTCGCGGCACCGGATGCTAGGTACATCGCCGAGCGAAGCGTTGTTCAGCAGAGTCATTCGGACACGGGTTCCAGCATCCATCACCCCACAGATCGTCAACCCATCTGAGCAGATCAAGGCGAAAGCAGCAATGGTTGAAGGTCATGACTCACGCCGAGGTGTCCGCAAGTTACCCCATTTGCCATCAGGTACGCGGGTAGTGCTCCATGATGGGTACAGCGACCCTCGAAAAGAATGGAAGGTAGTAGAGCAGTATGGTCGTCAGGTTGGGGTCACTGATGGGTCACGCATACTGCTCCGGAACCGTCAGCATGTTACCGAGTTTGTAGCACCAGCAGCAGCAGCAGCGGAGAAAGCACCCATGAGTGAACCTCCGGCACAGTCAGAGAGGGAGCATGTGCCAGAGCCAGTGTGTGCTCCAGCACTGCCAGTGTCCGACCCAACAAGCCTTCCGTCAGCGAGCAGCGCAACATCCAGGCCCGAAGCTCCGGTAACTGCGCTCACATTGCCGTTGTCTCCTGCAGCTTCACCGGAGACGACAGCATCACCTGCAACACCGGCCTGTATGTCACTGTCACCGCCAACATCTCGTCCAAGTGTATTCCGCGAGGGCGTACAGACCAGAGCTGGCCGTCAGATCAAGCTTACAGAGAAAGCACGTGAAGCTGGCATCTGAGTCGTCGAGTCATGCATTACCAAATGAGTGGCTTCAATCGCTACCAGATTGGCGTTGTTTAGAATCTTCTAACTACCTTGTGAATATTTAGATTTTTCTTTATTTTTTCCCCTTATTGGTCGAGTTTGCATTGTAACTCAAACTCCTGGTGTTTTTGCCTCAAGTTGCGAGTCAGATTATTTCTAATAGTTGCAACACTTCCCGTCTCTCTTTTTACTCCAACACATGTACGTACATTCCTCTGCTTTTTTCTTTTTTCTTTTTGAGGGAAGGGGGGTAATGTAGATATCGTACATGCAGTTGTATGTAGTACTATGTACGCACGTGCAGGCATGCACGTGCTTGTACCGCTTTATGTATAGCACGAGAGAGATGACATGGCGCACTTCTGATAGAGAACTAAAGAAGATCTGTTTAGCACAATGGCTGTCTTGTGAGTGACTGAATAGATGTCTACACATTGTACTGATGTGCCATCTAGTCGAAAGCAAGGCTACCATTAGATGTCACTAACCAGCTAACTTACGCTGTAGAGATGTGTACTGGAATCTTTTTGAAGGAGTGGCTTAGAGTGGACGCTCACAAACTACTGTTTCCTTATCTTGCCCCGTCCAACTATAGGTTCAGAAGGCGTTCACCGTCACTGTGCTGGATGTAAAGGAAGCACCGGTCGCCATCCAGGTCACATCCGCAGGTAGGCGCACGCGTGTACTGCTTTCAATGCCGTGTACCGCTGTGACCATTGCATCCATGCATGCGCAGGGACTGCACGACTTCACCATTTGAAGACTGAGTTCCATGCTAGAATTTTTTCTGATTGTCTGTGTTGTGTCAGACAGAGTTTATTTCGTAAGCGGCAAGGAGACCAACAAACGAAGAACTACATTCCAAAGCTGTGTGCTGTGTGCGAAGGAGTGCGTGCGAACACAAAAGGAATGTGTACGAACGCATAAGGAAGCAGGAGCTCTAGGCGCATGCATATGGGGTGCAGCAGTTTCACCATATACAGGAGTATGCCATATACATCAGCCAGTAGCCTGTAGCCAGTATTTTCCAGCTCGCCGTCCTTTGCATGACACGAGGGAGTTCAATCCACTCAGCATGTTGCTTACATGGGTTCTTTGTTCTTTAACCAGGTGCTCAACTAACCTTCGGAACGAATAATCCGACCGTCAACGAGAACTCGGTCAGAAACACGGTGGTGGGAACAGTGGTGGCGTCTGATCCGGATCACAACGCCGTGATCACATTCAGCCTAGATGACAATGCTGGCGGCCGATTCAAGTTGGACAGTCCTGGAAACGTGCAATGCAAGACGGCATCTAAAGCTGATCCTGTAAGCTGATGAGATTGGCGCACGGACCTGTGGGCAACTTCAGGAATCTGAAAAAGCGTAATCACGTTACAAATTCAATGTACATGCCCCGTCATCAGTCTATTATGCTATTGATTGTTGCTTTCGTGGTCAGCATGTGTGTGTGTGTGGAGTGGGGTGTGTGTGTGTGTGTGTGTGTGTGTGTGTGTGTGTGTGTGTGTGTGTGTGTGTGTGTGTGTGTGTGTGTGTGTGTGTGTGTGTGGAGTGGGGTGTGTTTGTGTGTGTGGAGTGGGGGGGGGGGGGTTAGAGCTGTTAGAGAGGATTAGAATGATAACTATGAGGATATGTGTTTTCTTACCCCCCTCCCCCCCCCCCATACACACATCGTACACACACGTATTGTACACAAATCTTTCACACACACACACACACACACACACGCACACACACACACAGAAACACACGCGCAAACACATGCCAAAGCTCCTAAATTTTCATTTTGAAATTGAAGTGAACAGTCCAGCAGTTAAAGATGGATGGGGAGGGGGGGGGACGTGTTCTCTACTTCTCATTTGGTACACGCTCTTACTTTGGTTACATGCCGGTCTTGGCCGTCTTCTGACCATGTCCTGTACAGACTGCAGAAACCGTGTGCTCCGTCAGAGTCCTTGTAGCTGGCATTCTCAATCATGAAGTCGATGCTCTGCACACTATCATTGTCAGGGCGACTGACAACCATGGCCTGTTCAAAGTTCAGAAATTCTCCGTCAAGATTGTGGATATGAACGATGCTCCTCATGTAAGTAGTAATGACGAATGTGTTTTTCTTCATGCCACGGCTTTCCCGGTGTGTTACATTCACGATTATTCTTCTGTGTCTGACATGAAATAGCATTATTATATTTTCTTTCGCAGATGACACCGGACTATATATCTGTTTCTGGGAGACTGGAAAGTTTAACTAGCCTAAGACCTTGTGACCATTTGCCTCCTCTGCTAGGACATTACCTCTGTCGGAGGTGCACCGCACGTCAAAGAGAACCTCAACAACTTGGTGATAACTTCGTTCCTCTCGAGCGACGAAGATGCTTCTCACAAGCACACCTACACGATCACATCAGACCCGGACAAGAAGTTCAAGATTGTGGGATCTCGCTTGATGACCACTGCATCAGCCAATCTGAACTATGAGGCGAAGTCGACATACTCTGTCGTGGTTCGAACTACAGGTGAAATGCTGTTGCTTAATTAATTATTTTATTTTTATTTTATTTTATTTATTTCTGCACCTCGTGGCATTTCAAGACGGCCAATTGAATTGAGGAGAGGGTGAGACCAACCACGGAAGAAGAGAAAAAAGAGAATGAAGAGCACGTACACAAAGTGGGAAGGGATATCATTATGAAAACTTGTGAACACCTCCATCCCCAAACAGGCTCTCAGCTGCACAACAAGAAAAAATTACTGCCAATATTTTGCCCATTGGGCATCTTCAGGGTAATGATAAGGAAGGTCAGGCAAGCATAAACTATAAAGCAAGAAACCAAACAGTTTGGGTTTAAGGAAACATCACGAAAACCGTATAGGAAAATTGTATAGGAATAACCCCGCGCACACCGAGGCTATGTGCAAAAGGGTGGTGGGGAAACACCCGGAAGAGAAGATTTCCTGATTCACACTGAGAGCTATGCCAATGACCCCTTTCCCTTCCTTCAGAGCTCTGTTTCCATGCCCTTAGCCCCAAGGGGTTCCCACCACTTTAAAAGTCCACGACACTTTTATATGTAAAGTTTTAAGACGGCGTTAAAACATGTGGTCTTACGGTATATTCCAGCATTCTCCGCTGACATTTATCATGACACCAAACAATTGCATCAATGTATGTTGTCTGGCTTACTTGAACTATGCTGTGTTATAGATAACGGTTCACCGGCTCAGTACTATGAGAAAACGTTCACAGTTACCGTCGTGGACGTTAATGAGGTTCCAACGTCCGTGTCGCTCAGTGCTAGCGATGTAAGTGGTGTCTTGCTATTTATATTCATTTTACTTCACTCAACTCGTGGTCCATGATCAATTGGTACAGAAAGTGCGAGAGAGGGGTGATAGCCAACCACGGCAAGAAATATCACTGCGACCTTTTAGCACTGTAGATTGTGCTATATTATCCCAGATGAAACAATGTTCAAGCTGAGGAGTAGAGTTTGCAATTCGGACACTTCAAATTTTGTTTCCTGCCCAGAGTTGCATACCGTATTTTTCGGAGTATAGTGCGCACCTTTGTATAACGCGCACCCCCAATCTACATTGGGGGTGCGCAATTCAATCTTCATTGAAGTACATGCATTTCATATTCGGAGCATAGTGCGCACCTGCGATCTCGGGCCTAAAATATCACATCTAAAGTGCGCACTATACTCCGGAAAATACGGTAGCTGACTGGTGGCTCTCTTCACAGTTTTTCTCTCTCTCACAAAGGCACCTTTGCTATAGACCAGCGATGCTCTAATCACTAAGCTATAGTTTAGCCCCATGTTTGGTGCAGCACAATGTAGCTCCTCCATCTTTAGTAGATTGTCATATATTCTAGAATTCCCGAGTCACACAATGCCGGATTCTTTCAACAGGCATTTTCTAGTGGTGTTGGTGTCGCTATGTCCGTGTAAGCATTTTGAGTTGATCCTGATTATAATTATTATGTATATGACTTGCACTCTTCATCCAGTGACTGATCAATGGTACATTGCTGTTGTGCTTCAGGTGTTTGAGAATTCCGCACCCGACACTGCTATTGGTACATTCAGCACCATTGATCCAGATAACTATGCGTCAAAGAGGCAGACATTCAAGTACTCTTTGGGAGACTCGGCACAAGGCAGATTCCAGCTCTCCGGAACATCGCTTCAGGTAGCACTGCGAACAATTCCCTTGTCTGTTCCATGCTGCTGTTGTTGTCGTCGTTGCCGTTGTTGTTTGTTTGTTTGTTTGTTGTAGTCTGAGAAACCTGAGGACACTTTGGAAAGTCCACTTTCCCAGCAGCCTCATTGCTTGCTTAGCTGCCCTTATGAACCAGTAGTTGCACCAACCTGATGCTGTGCTGAAACTGTGACACCCCCTACTGGCCTTAGGCATTCAGTGACCATCATGGAATGGGTATGTTTTTTTCGTAGATAGTCCTTGACATTTGACTTTTGCAGTCTTCCACAGATTTCCCTCCCCGTGACATTGGAATGCATGTGATTGTGCATATTGCAGGTCAAGGCACCTAATGCTGAATGCCTCAAGTACGGTGGTTTGTACTGTAAGCTGAACTATGAGGCGGCCAAGACGCACACTATCATCGTTCATGTCACAGACAGTGGCTCACCACCTCTGAGCAAGGACTTCAAACTGACAGTCAACGTAAAGAACATCAACGACAAGCCAAGGCACATTGATGTCAGCAACACGATTGTAAGTTCATTTACTTGCTTTCTTTTCCAGTCATTCCTACTATGTTCATTCTGTGTGCATATTATGCTGTTTTCTACGTGTGAGGATGCTTTTAGAAACGTTCAGGGGCCGCTCAAACAACTTGGATAGTGAAGTTTTTTGTGTATTTTGAAATTTAGTACGCTGACCATGCTGACTACCACCATCATGGGGGGGGGGGGGGTGATTAAAGAAGGGCCTATAGATGGTATTCGACACCATCATGGGGGGGGGGGGGGAGTGATTAAAGAAGGGCCTAAAGATGGCATTCGACACCATCACGTACTGCCCTGTCGTACCAGAGTGAAACTAGCCACACATGCTACTCATACCACAGGTAATTTCTTGTTGTGGAGCGTGCTGCCCTCTAATGTGTTCTACATAGCAACTCTATTGACAGCAAAATCTTTCGATTGTACAGAATCTTATGAACGGAGTTTGCTCAAGGAAGAGGTTTTTAGAGCAGACCCGCTCTTTTCCTTTCACTCTGAAACAATCTCGAATTCGTTTGGCAATCAATTATTACAACGTTTCGCCAAATTTGCCCACATCAGGTATGCAATCGGATATGCAAGACTATGCTATGTATTGCTGTTCGTTTCTCCGTCCAGGTGAAAGAGAATGAGCCGGCGGGTACGAAGGTTGGCACGGTTTCGTTCAAGGACGAAGACATTGGCCAGAAACACACCGTCACCATGACCGACACAGACAATGGCCAGTTCAAGCTTAGTGCCGATAGCTTGAGCGTGCTCAAAGCCAAGCCAACCGACTACGAAACAAAGAAGGCACATAAGATCACTATCAAGGTCACCGACAACGGTTCGCCGCCAATGTCAGTAAGTTCAAGCCAGATCACGGGGCGTCTGATTTCACTCATGCTGTTCATTCTTTACTACAGTGTTGCTCAATGAAATCCAGTCACAGTGTTGCTCAATGAAATCCAGTCACAGCGTCGCTCAATGAAATCCAGTCACAGCGTCGCTCAATGAAATCCAGTCACAGCGTCGCTCAATGAAATCCAGTCACAGCGTCGCTCAATGAAATCCAGTCACAGTGTCGCTCAATGAAATCCAGTCACAGCGTCGCTCAATGAAATCCAGTCACAGCGCCGCTCAATGAAATCCAGTCACAGCGCCGCTCAATGAAATCCAGTCACAGCGCCGCTCAATGAAATCCAGTCACAGCGCCGCTCAATGAAATCCAGTCACAGCGTCGCTCAATGAAATCCAGTCACAGCGTCGCTCAATGAAATCCAGTCACAGCGTCGCTCAATGAAATCCAGTCACAGCGTCGCTCAATGAAATCCAGTCACAGCGTCGCTCAATGAAATCCAGTCACAGCGCCGCTCAATGAAATCCAGTCACAGCGTCGCTCAATGAAATCCAGTCACAGCGTCGCTCAATGAAATCCAGTCACAGCGTCGCTCAATGAAATCCAGTCACAGCGTCGCTCAATGAAATCCAGTCACAGCGCCGCTCAATGAAATCCAGTCACAGCGTCGCTCAATGAAATCCAGTCACAGCGTCGCTCAATGAAATCCAGTCACAGCGTCGCTCAATGAAATCCAGTCACAGCGCCGCTCAATGAAATCCAGTCACAGCGCCGCTCAATGAAATCCAGTCACAGCGCCGCTCAATGAAATCCAGTCACAGCGCCGCTCAATGAAATCCAGTCACAGCGTCGCTCAATGAAATCCAGTCACAGCGCCGCTCAATGAAATCCAGTCACCGCGCCGCTCAAGTGCGTGCCGGGCGTTGCGCAGCCCTAGACCTGTGAACACTGGGCTGCAAAATGATGCCAGGTGCAAACTTGAGTGACACAACTGGATTTCATTGAGCAGCACTGGACTTATCATGGAGTCACGGTGCTGGAGATTTCATGCACTGTGCAACTCATAGTGTGCTGGAGATTTCATGCACTGTGCAACTCATAGTGGCGAACGCTTGGGTAATGCCTTCTGGGGTGCATTTTCTTGCCATGCACAGATCTCCAAGGATATATTCATCAGTGTTACGGATGTCAACGAAGCTCCGATCAATTCCATCTTCACCTCTACAAATGGTCAATTGACATTCGCTGATGACCATGCTAGGATTAACGAGAACTCCAAGATCGGAACCATCATTGGTACCATCGTTGCCAGAGATCATGTAAGGACACTATTCTTTTTGTTCACAAGTGTGTATGTTAGTGTGTGCTTGTGTGTGTGTGTGTGTGTGTGTGTGTGTGTGTGTGTGCGCGCGCGCGTGTGTGTGTGTGTGTGTGTGTGTGTGTGTGTGTGTATGTGTCGTCGCGCGAAGTGTGTGTGTGTGTGTATGTGTGTGTGTGTGTGTGCAGAAAAAGTCACTTCAAACAGCTGTGTGGTGGATACCAGGCTACAAATAGTGGCGGTCAATTCATCAGCCTTGCAAGCTGTTGAATGGTGTAATCCCAGCACAAGTTGCTATGTCTAACATAGCTGTTCGCTATCATCGCTCCCGCGATGGGCATGTCTGAGGTCTGAGGTCTGAGGTGTGTGTGTTTGTGTGGTAAAGTACAGGGATAGAATGATAACTCAGATCAGAAGTGATATTACAGTAGCAGAGCAGAACGGGGAACAAGACCGTTTTGTTTATTCATGCCGGTACATGAGAGCATGCAAGGTTACATGTACCTTATAGCATCTGGGTGTGCATGCCAGCGGGTGGATGCTGTGTACATACCGGTTCTGGATGACACATGATTTTCTCTATCCCTGTTATAACTTTTAGTCGTTCTTCTAAAAGATTTCGTTGCGAGAATGTTGAACTGTCGTTGCTTGGATGACGACTACACCATAGGTCAGTGGTAGAGCATCGCTAGCTACAAGCGAGGATCCCTGGTTCGAGTCCTGGTGGTGACAGTCAATTTGTTTCTTCAGACTTTTCCCGTTTGCACCTTGACCTTGAACTAATGAAATTCCCTGGTGTCATTGTTCTATCTTCTAGGATGCCAACCAGCAGCTGACATTCTCCCTGGACGACAACGCTGATAACCTGTTTGCCGTAGCTCCCACTTCTACCTGTGACTTTGTAAGTACCACTGGCTGGCTGGGGAGTTCTCACGTGAGCACTGCGCCTGCTGAGGGCATGTAGAACAGCTGCAGCTGGAGAGGTCAGGGGCCAACCTAGTTGTAGTTATGCAGTGCACATGTCCGACCTGTTGATAGGCAAGGCCTGCAATTTGGTGACATCTTTTAATCAGTCATTCGCACGTCAAGACAATGTCATGTCCAATATTTCGGGTGGACCCCTTACTTGGTCACTTTCATCGGAATTACCGAAGAGGATTTCGCTCACAGGCGTGTGTGTTGCATGCATGGTCTATTCTACTGTAATACATCCTCGCAACACTCTCCAAACGGTCTCTGGATTGCACCAATCAATGAAAAGAATAAAATTATCCGAATTTTCGGGCAAGGCCCATTTCGCTCTACTCTATTGTAATATACTTCTATCATAGCATTGCAATATGACCACATAGTATCATCCTCCCAGGCCCAGTTACTGGATAACAGTTATGTAAGGGTGTGTCGCCTCTGTGTGAACGATATGATGTACCCCGCAACCCCGTGTGTCCTGTCCCTGCACTGCCTAGACGTCGGGCAGTCTGTGCAGTGCCCCGCTGACCGTGTTTGGCTCACTGGATCACGAAGACACTGATCAAGAGTACATCGTGGTCCGTGTCTCCGATCCGCACGGCAAGTTCAAGGTCACGAAGTTCTTCATCACCATTGTCGATGTTAACGACGCTCCAAACGTAAGTAATTTTTTAATTTTTTTTACAAGATGCACAACTCACCAGCAGGCACATGGGACTAGCATGGGGCTAGCATGGGGCTAGCATGGGACTAGCATGGGACTAGCATGGGACTAGCATGGGGCTAGCATGGGGCTAGCATGGGACTAGCATGGGACTAGCATGGGGCTAGCATGGGGCTAGCATGGGGCTAGCATGGGGCTAGCATGGGACTAGCATGGCGTGAGATGGTGTTGATGAGGAATATCTAATTATGTGGTACAACCCCCCCCCCCCCATCATCACTCAGACCAACACACACACAGAGGAAACCATGGAGGTGCATGCTTGATATGGATAAACGGAGACACTCTAGTTATATTCACCTCTAAACGTTAAGCCCTCGTATATTGCTTTTCCTTTCGAGCAGGTCCAAAGCAGGGAGAGAATGAGGGATTCTGCAAGGTACTAGTCACGCCGTCTCTCTGTGTCTCTCTGTTTTTCTTGCGGTAGAATATTGATGTCCTTGCGACAACACACCATTGCCTATTCGTCAATCCATTCTCTGTTTCTCTGTCTGTCTGTCTGTCTGTCTGTCTGTCGGTACGTCTGTCTGTCTGTCTGTCTGTCTGTCTGTCTGTCTGTCTGTCTGTCTGTCTGTCTGTCTGTCTGTCTGTCTGTCTGTCTGTCTGTCGGTCTGAATGTCTGTCTCTCTTTCTCTCTCTCTCTCTCTCTCTCTCTCTCTCTCTCTCTCTCTCTCTCTCTCTCTCTCTCTCTCTCTCTCTCTCTCTCTCTCTCTCTCTCTCTCTCTCTCTCTCTCTCTCTCTCTCTCTCTCTCTCTCTCTCTCTCTCTCTCTCTCTCTCTCTCTCTCTCTCTCTCTCTCTCTCTCTCTCTCTCTCTCTCTCTCTGTCTCTCTCTCTCTTTCTGGTTTGTTTGTGTGTGTGTGTGTGTGTGTGTGTGTGTGTGTGTGTGTGTGTGTGTGTGTGTGTGTGTGTGTGTGTGTGAACCTTTTTTATTGTTCAGAACATGACGATAACCAGTGCACAAGTATCCGAGAACCAGGCTGGTGCATTTGTCGGTGCTTTCCTGACTGATGATGACGACCCACGCCAGACCTTCAACTACACCCTGGTGAATGATGCCAATGGAAGGTTTGCCGTAAGTACCATTATCCTTTCACTTCTTTCTGGCAGTTGATAAACAGCAGCAAGATGAGCAGCATTTGTCATTACCCGAACCTTAGGTGTTTTTAGCCGGAGGACTACCAACTGCGTATCTTCGGCCATCTTTGGGAAGCGTGTGAACGCTGTACTTGGAAGTAGTTGTGCAGTAGAGGTATTTCAAATATATCTGACATCGTTAGTATAATTCCGTGATGCCATCTATATTTGGTCCATCCATTCATTTAAGGACCAGACAGGACCACACGACACTTGCAGATAGCAGCACACACTGCTGTTGTGGAGTGGTACTGGTGGACTGTTCGTGCTGGTGTCTGCAAACGTCGTGTGGTCTCGTCTGCTCGACAAAAAGACTATTACTACTATTGTGAGTATAGCTGCTCCGAGGCTCTGCGGCTCTCAGCCCGTTCTGGCACTGTGCGATGCCTAGAGCCCAGAGGATGTAACAGCATGCCTGCTTTATTGTATGTTCTACACCTGTAGTAGTTTGATGTGGTGTGCATGTCATTAATAACGTTTGATTTAACGTGACTACGGGACTTGCATTGTGTGATCATCTCTTTCAGTTGTTTGTTGATGATCTGCGCACGGTGGGAGCTCTGAACTACGAGTCCACGCCGACACTGACTATCAGAGTGCGTACCACCGATAGCGGCACGCCACCACTCAGCTACGAGAAGGACTTTGTGATCAGTGTCATCGACGTCAACGAGATTCCCACCTCGCTGCACATATCCGGCAACCATATCGACGAGAACAGCCCGAGCAACACTGCGATTGGTGCACTGTCCACGCTGGACCCAGATAACACAGGCAAAGTGCCATGGCAGACCTTCAGCTATGCCCTGCTGGGCACGGCTGGTGGAAGGTTCAAGATTGATGCTGGAGTGCTCAAGGTACAGACTATGGTACTGCTGCTTACGATCTTGAATGGTTCTGGCAAGGAGTTTTGTTTATCTTTAGGCCATAGCAGCTGATGGTAGAAGGTAACTTGAAAATGACCTGAAACGGGATGTTTGCACTATGCCCTACATTGTGTACTGTGTTTTTCATTACGATATTCCTTGCTACAGTGACAAGTACGTTCCAGAACACTACTTGTCCAGCCATAGGAATGTGTGTGTGTGTGTGTGTGTGTGTGTGTGTGTCTGTGTGTGTGTGTGTGTGTGTGTGTATGTGTGTGTGCGTGCGTTTGTCCTGGTGTGCATGCGCCTAACACTGGCCTTCTGTCTATTATGTCCTGACAACACAGGTTCGCTCGTCCAATGTGGCATGCTTAGCTCTTGGCGGCACGGCGTGTTGGTTGAACTACGAACACCAACCTGTATACACGGTACTGGTCAGGACAACCGACTCTGGAAGTCCACCGCTTTTTGCCGACTTTACTATCAACATCACGCTGAGGGATATCAACGATAGGCCACGTAAACTGCAACTCAGTGACTACCGCGTGCACGAGAATCAGCCCGTTGGCACGGTCATCGGAATGTTGAGCGGCTTCGATGAAGACGCCAAGCAACATCTATCGTATGTCCTGAGCAATGACAATGGTGGAAAGTAAGTATGGCTGTAACAGTAGGCACAGTGGGCGTACACAGATAAGCGTTAATACTCCTCTGACTACTAGTACACAGGCCTTCGCATTAGTATCATCAGTGGTTTGTGCGTTCAATAAAACACCTTTTAGTACAGTAGAATGAAGTTGAAGACACCACTGCAGCTGTACTTATGGTGTGTCTTTACCACCATACTATTCAACTTTTAGTACAGTAGTAGATCTACTATCTTGTACAAATATCGACGGGCACGGGCATATCAGGTTCACTCATGCCCTTAAATTAGGGAGTTGTGAAGTACCGTGCACAGGGGAGATGACTTCCGCAGGTCTGTTTGTTATTCAGCATTCACCCGCACCCCTCCGTCTTTCACAGAGAGTGCTGCATGAATGTCAGCTTGTCAAGCCCGGCACAGCCAGACACTATGATTGGTATGTGTTCTTACGAAACCCCCACACCATATCTGTGCTCGAAAACGACGTTGTCATAGCACACCACCAGTAAAGCGACACATCCGTCGGTACTGAATTCCTTCATAAGCTGTACAGGGCCGAATGCTGTTGCTTACCCATTTGTTTGCTCTTACCAGTATAGTTTCTGTTCTGCACCATCTTTTTGCAGGTTCAAGATCGTTGGCAATGAACTGCAGAAGGCCATGCCGGCTAACTATGAAATCTTCAAGTCACACTATATAACTGTAGTGATGAAGGATGATGGCACGCCCAGCCTGAATGTAAGTGAACCAGTGTGCTACGGCTGTATGACGCAGGGGCGTAGCTGGTCCCCCCTTTTTTTGGGGGGGGGGGGGAGGGTGCACGGCCGCATATGTGTAGGATGGCATATGTGTAGGATGGCTGGTGCATGTCATTCATGGTCAATGTGTGCATGCTGAACCTAGGTCGAAATGTTTAGGGGGTGCACATGCCCCCCCCCCCCCCCCCCCCCCGGTGCCCCATGCCGCAGGGCTACGCGTCTGTAATTGTCAATGCGTATGAACATACCGTGCCCGCTCTATCGCTGGTTTCTCCTGCTCTTGATTGCGTTGTCTACAGATCAGCCAAACATATCTGATTGAGGTATTGGATGTCAACGAAGCACCGGTCACCACCAACATCACAGATACTGATGGTCAGCTGACCTTCACCACGGTGAGCCATTTACCTTGTTGATGATGCGAGTGGGTATGTGTATGTATTTAGTTTAGTTTCTTTCCAAGCAATCCATGACTGGGGCAGCCACTGACTTCTTTGCATGGCGGTTGCAGGGTTTTTATAGCCAACCGTATTTCACACCTACCTGCTACCTAATCAAGTTGTAGTGCCCAGTGAACAGTCTCTCTCTCTCTCTCTCTCTCTCTCTCTCTCTCTCTCTCTCTCTCTCTCTCCCTCTCTCCCTCTCTCCCTCTCTCCCTCCCCCCCCCTCTCTCTCTCTCTCTCTCTCTCTCTCTCTCTCCAGCAAGGTGCATATCACCCAGAATGTATGACGTAATAGTTGGGCACGTTCATCTCCCTCTTACCAATGTCTTCGTGGAGTTTCAAAACCTTGCTTTGTGCTGTGTGTCCTCTGTGTCCCCTGCCTATTGCAGGACATTCCTGAAGTGGAGGAGAACAGCGCAGTCGGTACAGTTGTGGGTACAATTGTGGCTGTCGATCCTGATTACAATCAAACTCTGACATTCAAACTGGATGATGATGCTACCGGCCTGTTCTCACTGAGTTCTTCGGTCTCCTGCCAGAAAGTCACTGATATACACGTAAGTCCCAGAAGCAACTGGTATTCACTTACTCATCTGATGAGGTCATAGTCTGTTTTCCAGGTGCCTGTGCTGAAAGAAGGCACACGCAGCTATGTTGGTACAGGGGCAGCCATTCCATGCAGTTGCAAGTCATTGAAGTTGTGTTTGGCTTGTACCTGTTGTTGGACTCTGGTGGAGCAATACTCTCTCTGCCTTACCACTTAATCTGGGTGCACGTGTCTATTTCAGTACTGAATACGAACTGATTCTTTGTTAGTGTTTGATTTGGTAGTCCAGATACAAGTTTACATGTTTATAGACAGTGAAATTCTCATCACTGTTCCGCGTTTACCTCTTGTCTGCGATGCAGGGTCACCATTCTTCCTGTCAGACAAAGCTGCTTGTAGCTGGCGCATTGAACTATGAATCAGTGAAGACACATGATGTCGTTGTGCGAGTAACTGACCAGTCAGGTCATTTCAACGTGCAGAGGTTCACGGTCAAGGTGGTTGACGCCAACGATGTGCCACACGTAAGATTCTTGACCGAGTGTTCTCTGTGTCCTCTGCTGGCCAATCTCAGGCTGAATTGTCGTCAATTCGGCATTACCGGAGGATGTACCCAGTGTGCTGAGAGTGCTCATACCGCGGAGGCAGCCCTAGCCCTGAAACTAACACAGCCCCCACATCAGTGCACACAGTTTTTCCACACTGCACGATAGGTTTAAAAGTACTACCAAACCGCCACAAAACCACACGTACTCCCTCTCCAGGTGTAAATACTGGCATGGCCAGCAGCATCTATATGTCTCACCTGATGATTGCATAGCATGAAGCTAAGAGTTGCACCAAACTAACCTTGTGCCTTGTTCTGTGTTGTCATTGCATATTATGTAATGTGTTACGGTTGCCTGCTATGCTGGTGCTGGTGATTATGAATGCCAGGCTAATTTCACAGTGATGCAATATCTGTATTCCAGCTGCTCATTATGATTGTGGAGGGCGGCCTGAAACTACTAGCACAATTTTGGCTGTGATGGCAATTTTAGTTCAGCCAAAGTCTGTTCTCTCCTGATGTACAACTTTATAGGACATTCAAATCCTGGCCAGGACTATTGACGAGAACTCACAGATGGTCTTCATCACAGACTTTGTGACTCTGGACGAAGACAAGACACACACTCACACATACAGTCTGGCCTCCAATCCGAGCAATCAGTTTGCCATTGTCAACAACAGTCTGTACACCTCGGCTACAGCCACACTCAACTATGAGAAGCAACAACAATGGGTGAGTTGCTGGTAATGGTTGACCGGATTTTGCTGAAGAAGTTTCAACATGTTATATGCACTGGCATCAGATTCACTCTGGACCTCTGGGCAGTCATCATTAAGCAAGGATCTGCATACAGGGTAGCAATGAATGAGGTTAATGTCAGCTTGCCATTCGGTCTCGTGAATCTGGTGCTGCTCAGACAGCTTGACCTTGACATTGGCATTTTGGTCTGATTGCTAGCAAAGAATCAGATGAAAGTTATAATATCCCTCTCCGTCATGAAGATAATACTGGCTGAGTTTCCAATGGACATATTGCCGTTTTGTGTAATTTCTTGTTTTCTGCAGACGATTTCTATCCTGTCAACTGATGATGGAGTGCCACCGTTGAGCATCAAGGAACAGTTTGTTATCGATGTTATGGATGTGAACGAGGTCATCAGCAGCATCAACATCACTTTAGACAAGGTGAGTGGAGAGTGCCTCTCCGAAATGACCACGGTGTGCTTGGAAAATGGCTCCTTTCTTCTTGAAAGCGAACACTGTGCATTGCACGTCTACTACTTAGCTGTGAATTATGAGACATCAACTTACCGGCACTTCTTTATCGTGGGTATTGCTAGCAGGAAAGTATCCTGTGTGTAACTGTGTTTGTTTTCTTATAAAAGCCTAAACTGACTGCTGTGGCATGTTGTTATGCTGTGATAGATCGATGAGAATAGTCCGGTCAACACTGTCATCGGCGAGCTGCGCACCATCGATCCAGATAACTTCGGTCCGAAGGGCGTGTGGCAGAATGCGACGTGCATGGCAAGTGACAATGCCGATGGCATCTTCACTGTCTATGCCAACATTCTGAAGGTAAGGTGAACGTGTTTCGATTACAAAAATGGCCATTGTTCTTTTTGCTAGTTGTGCACAAACAAGAAAACTAAGACTTGTGCATGAAGTATTGCCTATCATCATATTGTTAATCTAGTTATGTACTAGTGAATTTCTAGCTAGTTTGTATGTCACTTTTGTCTTGTGTGTGTGTGTGTGTGTGTGTGTGTGTGTGTGTGTGTGTGCTTGCAGGTTGCTCAAGCTAGCATTGACTACGAGCAGAACAAGTCGTTCACCGTCACAGTACAGTGCACTGATGATGGTCAGCCGCCGCTGACGCAGTCGTGGACGTTCACAGTGCACGTGATCAATGTGAACGAAGCGCCAACATCCATTTCCATCTCCAAGAGTGAGTGGTCCTCACACAGTGTATAGATCTCATTCGATGCACGCAGACTGCACTGCTGTATTTCCGCGAATATACGTCATGCCTTTTTACACTTGACTTCTTGGGCAAAGAAGGGGATACAACTTACAATTGAGTGTGCCGTCCTACCTGTATGTGAATATATTGAAACATTAGGTAGGGCTCAAACCGGAAAGCGGGGGTGCGACTTATCATCGTACATATACGGTACCTGTTCATGTCCAAGTGCCGTCCATAGTTTGCCAATCATTTGGCACATTCTGACTATTCCCTAAATCCTGCACAGTTTTTCTGTTATGCACAAAATTAATGATACGGCCCTAGACTTTACGTCGATTATCAGTGTTTTTTAAGCATGTATTTCGTCAGTTCTATTTATGTCTGTGCAGAATGTTAGAACTGATACGTTGTGTTATCAAACTTGTACGCTCTACTTTGTGCAGCTGAACCCTGTCGCAAAACACTGCCAACTTAGCTTTGTGCTATCTAACATGACATACTTTCTGTTCATTTTGTGTTTACCCTTTGCAGATGATATTGATGAGAATGAGCCGACTGACTCTGTTGTTGGTGTGTTCTCCACCGTTGATCCCGACAACAAGAACTCCATTACTCAGGTACTGTGTTGTTCGTGATTTCTGCTTTGTATTCCAACCTTTTAACTAATGTGTTGAGTATGAACACTTCAGTGGCATGAGATCACGTGTGATGTCACTACATCAGCATGATTTCAATATGACATCAATATGACATCACTGATCTGGCATGAAATAAGTGTTACACGAGTATGTGAAATGTATGCCACGCTTATGGAAATAGCATGCCAGCAGTATTCAGTGAAACCTGTCTAAGATGACTGCTCAAGGGACTTTCAAAGAGTGGTCTCTGTAACCAGGTGGTCTCCTTATCCAGTGCCATTTGACTGGAAATAGTATCCCTTGGCCCTGGCTGCAGTGGTCTTCTGGGACAGGTGGTCGCCTTGACAGGTTTTACTGTAATTTGGTTTTTCAGCTGTGAATAGATAACAGGGTATATGGGGCTCCTAATAGCGGCAAAAAGGCATGGCCTGTTAGGAGCTCCCTAGTAAATAGTAAGAATCTTATATACTTCTACTACTACTGTTGCTGCTATTATCATGGCTTCTGCTGTTTTTTCCTGTACATGTATTTATTTTCTGGTGTTGTATACGCAGACATTCACGTACAGCTTTGTGCACCCGCTGCCTGGACTGCCATTTACCATCGTTGGTAATCAGCTGTTGACAGCGCGTCCGTTGGACTTTGAGAAGACGGCTGTCTGGCCGGTCGTTGTGCAGTCAAAGGATTCCGGTGGCCTCTCAGCTATACACGTGTTCCAGGTAAGAGATTACGTGATAGTGGACACCAGGGTCGCACATCTCTTTACGTCGATGGCTCTATGTGGCATGTGTGACCCCCCCCCCCCCTCACCATGCACACATATAATATTATATTCTTCGACGTCGGGACTTACCGTTAAGTCGCGGATAAAAGCCGGGCTTATAACCACATAAGCCGCTTTCTGCATCAGGCTTTAATGCAAACCAGGCTTGTATGCAAACCATGCTTATATGCACCACTGATATTTTTGCCAGGCTTGTATGCCAGGCTTCTACGCGCGACACGCGTAGATCTACCACTGACTACCGGTATGGCGGCAGTTTTACTATGCACCGTACATAGCGCATGCACTCTTGACCTACCCGATCCGCGCTTGCATAGAAGCCAGGCTTCTACGCGCGACAGGCTTATATGCATTCGACCCGTTTGATTTTCAGGCTTCTATCCGCGATGTGCTTGTATGCAAACCCGGCTTTTATCCGCGACTTTACGGTATTAGGGTGCAACAATAACTTCGTGTTAGTCACTACTATCCTGTAAATGCTTGTTCATTGTGACTTATGGCTTTCAACTATCATATGTTGTCTCCTATAGGTCATTGAGCTTTAGAATTAAAAGTGTTGTGCACGTGGATCACTGAGCTGGGGATGGCTAAAATTCTGCTTTCTGGGAACATCTGTTTTGTTTTAGGTCAACGTGAACGACATCAATGAACCGCCGACTGGATTCCTGTTGATTGCTGCCGGCGATGTGGCGGAGAACAGTCCGGCTGGCTCGTATGTCGGCGATGTCCTTGCTGTGGACGAAGACGCCAATCAATCTCATACGTTTGTTGTTCTGGGAGCTGCACCAGGCACTCAGTAAGTTGATCTCAGCAGGCAGTGTCATACTACACTCGTCTCTTGTGGGCTTGTTATCAAGTGGGTGGATCACTATCCGAGTAGAAAGTATATATAAAAATCAACCAGTCTTTTGCGACATGCAGAAAACTGGTAATATTGAAAGGTGGTGCCTCTGCATAGATGAAAGTGTATGCTGAACCATGTTCTGTCACCTGAGGTTATCTGTCCCTATAGACAGGTGATCTCTACAGAAAGATGGTTTGAAAAGACTGATTGTCTCTAACTACAGGTGACCTTTTGAAACAGGTGGCCTCTACAGAAAGGTTGGCTGGAAACACAATACACATGGTCTTGAAAGACAGGTGACCTTAAAAGACAGGTGACCCTGAAAGACAGGTCTCTTCTTGCAATGGCTGCTTAGCCCAGGTTTACTTAAGCTATGTAACACATCATGCTACTGCTCCTTCTCCACGTACAGGCTGAACAGCTCTTCCATCGATCCCAGCCTATCCGATGCATTCGAGATCAACCAAACTAACGGCGTGCTGTCAACGGGTAATTACACGTGGAACTATGAAATCACACCCAACTACACTGTCTGGATACAGACCAGGTGAGCTTTTTAAAAGATAATTCTGAACCTTTGCTTATCACTAGCGCTACGAATGGGTTGTCTTCAGTAGAAAAAATGTTCTTAATCTAGCTGCAATCAATGACATGGCTTACTTTGAAAATTCTGACGCGATTGTCTCTATTTACTGAGTTGCTGATGACTGTTGTGAACAAGTTTGGTTGGAAATTTGCCTCTTAATAGGGTGCCCCGCTGGTTATCGGGATGCTCTTGGAGTTGGAAGCCACCTCTCTTATATTATTGACGCTTTGATTGTTGTTCTCTGCTCGTGTAGTGACCATGGCCTTCTACCCAGCCTGCGCTACACCGACGTACTGGTCGTGCACATCAGCGATATCAACGAAGCTCCCACAAACATCACACTGGATAATGACAAGGCAAGTGATGAATGTTGGCAGGCATAGCCGCCCTTTAAATGACCACCTTATTATACATAGGTACTGGACCGTGTTTATAATGTGCATGCGCAATATGGGAGATGTGAACAAGGTAGTCGTAATATTATAACTACATGTAAACAGCAGGTACCCAGTGTACAGGCAGTCTGTACATAGAGATGGTCAAGTTATGATCAAGTTGCGCTTGTAGACATGTGGTACTCGAAGTACATGTATCTGCAATTCAGTGGATGAGAGTGTGGTGCATGAGTTGTCTCCGAATCAAAATGCTCGCCTACTTGTTAAAATCGAGCCTCTTGTGTGGGCAAAATGGTCCTCAACTACTGCCGAGATCAATTTGCACAGGTTTCACGGCGGGCTCAAGCTTTCCCAGTATCATAGGACTCTGCTCTTGTACAACATAAGCCTGGATGACTTTTATTCACTTCTTTTTGAATTCCTTATCCTTGGCTCCGTGCTTAGGTTGCGGAAAACAGCCCGATCGGCACAGTGGTGGGCAACCTGGCGGTGACTGATCCGGATAACTACGGTGTTCATGCCGGATCTCAGGGTTTCAACTGCCTGGTGCTGGATGCATTTGCTCACTCATTCAAGGTACTGTATGCCATTGGATACCTCCTCCCCTCCCCCCCCCCTCACTCACACACACAAGACTCCGATCAGCGATGTATGGCCGTGCCGGGTTAGGCAACACAATCTCCAACTTTTTGGCAGTAGAAACCAGCTCCCTACCTGTCAGGCATTACCATCATAGGAACACTGTGCGACATTCACTGACTGCGAAGTTATTTATTAGCCGTACGGTTAGGCATGAGTTGGGATATGACAGTATCCCTGACATCATCTCTGACATCATCTGGATTGTTGTGCATAGGTTGTCAACCACACCGTACTGGTCGTCTCCAAGGACAACCTGGACTACGAGAACGAGGTGTCACATGACATCGAGGTGAGTGCTGCATTTACAAGTACATTGTATACCTTATCAGGGATCACATCCAGAGCCTGGTGATTATGGCATTTTGAACTTATTTTACTTGTGTTGTCACTCTCTTCCTTACAGGAGGTGGAGAGAAATACAGAGACAAACAGATAGACAAACAGAGAAACAGAAGAATATAGATAAGCAGACAGACAAATGACTGACTGACAGACAGGCAGACGGGCAGGCAGGCATGCGGACAGACAGACAGACAGACAGACAGACAGAGTGCGGAGACAGAGAGACAGAGGCAAACAGCAGGAAGACTGAATGAATGTCTGTGCATTGATATTGCTCTCGTGCAGATTCAATGCTGGGATGATGACAAGGTCAATCCTCTCTTCATGAACAAACAGTTCACCATCAACTTGACCAATGTCAATGAGGCACCGATCAAGCTAGCCATGTCAAACTCGACCATAGATGAAAACCTTGGACCACACGCTGAGGTAAGCTGCAATTACGATATTTCGTGAGCTGCTCCTTTTGCATGTCTCTACAGTCACAGTCGAGTTAAGTGACCACCTTGCCCTTGCCAGGGTGCATGGGACACCTGGTGCTTATAGACAGGTGATCTCTTTAATACCGGTCAAAGTGCATAGCAAGCCATGATCGGGGTCCTCGGAAGAGTCTATCTGTAAAAAGTGAATCGTTTCTTATGGCTTTGATTGCTTAGCACAGGTTTGTACCTACATATGTTGCCCTGGCTGTTCTATATCGTTGAAGAAGACGAGAAATTCTTGCAAAGTCTTTGCCTTTTCCTTACCTAGTATGTAGCTGATGTGATTGTGAGCGTTCAGTATTCTTTTCTGTCCTTCGTTTCCTTTAGCTTGGCATTGTCACGGCCATTGACCCGGACAATGAAGTCGAGCAGCTACAGAACCTCACATTCAACCTGCTTCAGGAGAACACGACGGACGTGCCGTTTGTACTGGTGGACGGCTACATCATCGAAGCCACCACCGACCTGGACTACGAGACCAGGGACTTGTACACGCTAACTGTGGGTGCCACAGATACCGGAGTACCGGCACTGACTACCCAAGCGGAGTTCAATATCTCGGTAAGTACCAAGAACGTTGTATTCGGGAATAACTTCAAAGGTACTCCTACTGCATGCGGTAAAGACAGTGAGGAGTGATAATTATGATGTAAACTCGGAACTCCCCCCCCCCCCACCCCAGGAAAAGAGAAAAAGTGCTATGGGAAGTGCTATGGGAATCACTGAGCACCGACCTGCTTTTAAAATACAATTGAGTTGGGATATTACGAAAACAGAATTCAGATTGGAATTTTCTGCATACATTGACCACACCATCACCACCACTGTTCCGCTCTGTGGCCGACCACACACACACACTTCCAACAACAGGAGGTTCCTTTGGACTTCGGATATTCAGACTGGAACATGTGTCTGTAATTAACTGGACAAGCTTCCGCTGACAGCGTGTTCCTTTACTGCAATCATGTGACAAATCACCATAATTTCATTGCATATTGATGTCAGATTCGCACGAGGTTCATAGTCACCTGAGGTCATTTGGCTCAAGAGCTTGATGTGAAACGTTTTGTTTTTTCACGGCTGAGCGTAGCGAAAGAGTGCAAAAAACGTATTTTTCACTCACAAATATTTTCGTGCATTTGCTCTTGTTCTGCGCAACTCCGTTGAACCTGCCATCGTGGTCTTTGTTTTTCCTCGTGGTAGTTGAAGTTGCCCGCCCACCCACCCTGGTTTCATGGGAGTCGTCCGCTGTTCTTCTTGACAATCTATGCCTATGTGTGTGGCTTATGATTATGACATACACCGGTTATTACATACCATTTCTTGCTATCTCTATTCTTGGGTCTGACTGGCAGCGGGGCAGGAATTAATGAAAATAGAAAGGTTTTTTGGCCGAAAGGCGTGTTTTTCCTCTAGCCCGGTTGAGCGGTCGCGGCTAGGAATGTAGGGAGTCATTGTTTTTCAGGCGCTCCCCTGCTGCCCAGTCACCCATGCTCACCACTGGCCATGCTGTTTCACTTGATTTCACGGCCTTTTCTCCCGCTTGCTGGCGGTTCTTTGATGGATTTAGATGTTTTTCGGCTATTTATCTATTCTGTGGCTGCGAGTGTGGTTTTTTGCTTCTACTCATTTCTGGAAAACCACCACGGTGGTGAGTGTGATTGCTCTGGTAGACCACTACCCCATGTACTGAACAGTCGCTTTGTGAGTGAAAATGTGCTGTTGCAGCGTTGAAACTGAGACTACACGGAGAGTTGAAGTAAAAACTACATAAAAAGTTAGCTGGATTCGTGGCCGCATAGAGTTGAAGTACAGTACACTTGCTGCCATAGGAATGACACTTTCTGGTCTGCGGTGTGTGCATGCTTGTGCGTTCGTATTTCTTGCTAGGTTATCAATGAGAACGATCCACCGACTGAAGTTGTGCTGAACAGCACCGGAATCTTGGAGAACTCACCGTTGGGTACTGTGATCGGCACACTGTCCACTGTAGATAGTGATATTGGACAGACGTACACATACAGCGTGCAGGAAATCGTCAACATCAGTGACGACAGTGAGTTCAGTATCACCTAGCTAGAGTCTGTCTAGGTTTGATATGCTTCTCCATGGCTGTGTGACAATAGTCTAGCATATGTTATCCTCTCTGTTGTACAGCCTTGGCCAGAGAAATCAGACCTCGTGAATACGATTGCACTTGGGGCTACGTGGTCCTAGAACGACGCACGCACACACACACACACACACACATACACACACACACACACACACACACACACACACCACACACATACACACACACACACACACACCACACACATCGCTCTGCGCACTTGATCTCGCGGCGCTACTATTCAGGAGGTCAGATTTCTCTGGCCAGAACTGTAGTTTTTCAAGTACTCGCAAACTCCTACTAGCTCCCATGGAAAAGTCGAAATAGCATGCCTGCAAACTCCAGATGAATTGTTAAACACTGCACACCTGATCCTCCTATGTTGCTTTCGAATTTGTTCTTTATTCTGTAGGCATGTTTGGTATCCGTGGCAACCAGCTGATCCTGTTGACCAGTGTGGATTATGAGACCGAGGATGTGTGGCAGGTGCTGATCCAGACCACTGATAATGGCCAACCAGCACTCAGCCACCAGGTATGCTGACCACACACCTGAGTGTGTAATGTAATAGTGTACTGTGCTATTCAAAGGATCTGTCGGGGAAGTGAACTGCCTGAAAAGAGAAGCAGGCATTCCGAGTAGCTTCAGTCGTCAAGTTAAATATTCCAAACCTTGGCCTATACACTACTCCAGTGCATGTGCACTGCGCCACACCTGGCAATCCACTTGAAGCAGACATTCCGAGTAGCTTCAGTCTCAGTCGAGTTAAAAATTATTATTTCAAACCATTTTTCTGGCACGTGCATCCACACCTGTCACAGTGGATGATGGTTAGAAGGATAAGCCTTTCCACTCTTCAATCCAATCCACCTGGTTGTTCACTAATTGGCTTATGGACTAGAGCAGAAGGTAACCATACTCGTATTTCGTTCCCGACCAGTTTTGAGCTTTTTGCTAGAACCTGGGTCTGTGTGCATTGGGCTATACACTCCACTGTGTGCCTTGGGCTATACACTCCACTGTGTGCATTGGGCTATACACTCCACTGTGTGCATTTGGGCTACACATTCCACTGTGTGCATTGGGCTATACACTACTCCAATGGCTGTGCTTTGTGTCTTGACCAGAATATCGTATACGTCAAGATCCTCGATGTCAACGAGGCACCGTCGGAAATCCAAATCGATTTCAACACAACATTCGACGAGCATCCAGCACCCGGCACTGTCGTGGCAAACTTCACAGTCATTGACGAGGACTTGAACCAGACGCACACGTGTCGACTGATGACAGGACAGGACAGCTTTGTTATTCTCAACGCCACCATCAGTGGCGAGGGAGAGATCATCTTGGAGGTATGTACCTTGGCGACATGTAACAAGTGGCCTGCATACACTAACATTTGTGTGTGTGTGTGTTTGTGTGTGTGTGTGTGTGTAACTGTGTGACGTTAATGGGGTCTGCACGCCATGGGAAACGGCAATGCATTTACCAAGAGTACGGAAGCCAGAGTGGGCAAGTTCCTGTGTGGGTTCAAGGCAACTCACATTGACGTTTACGTCATCCCGCTGTGTATTCATAACAGTTCCGCTGTGTGTCCCCTAGGTTCATTTCACTCCCGGGGTGTTTTCTGTAGTTCATAGCAATTCTGCTGCTGTGTATGCCCCCGGTTTATAACAAGTCCCGATATGTGTTGCCAGGTTTATAGCAATTCTGCTGCGTGTATCCCAGGTTTATAGCAATTCCGTTGCGCATTCCCTAGGTTTATAGCAATTCCGTTGCGCATTCCCTAGGTTTATAACAATTCTGCTGTGTATTCCTCAGGTTTATAACAGTTCCGCTCTGGACTACGAGGCCGACCCCATAGTCTACGTCACAATCAACTGCACCGATGACGGCGAGCCACCCCTGTCCATTGCCAAGACGATTGCGTTCAACCTGAAAGATGTCAACGAGCAACCAACCGGAGTGGCCCTGTCCGGAAACCACACTGTGCCGGAAAATTCATTGCCTGGATACGTTGTGGGCCAACTGTCGACCATCGATCCAGACAAGGGACAGATCTACACATACGCTCTCTTCGGCAATGGTTCAGACTCTTTCTTGGTAAGGAATGTTGTGTCGTGATGATTTTTCCATCACCGTCATCACTCCTGGATATGCTACTGCTGAACAAGCCACGTAATGACTTCCTTTTTCACACAGTTTGTTTACATAGTCAATGCGCTGTCCACTGCTCCTCGTCTGTGTGTGTTTGACATCAGACATTGCAAATCTACTGGAATTTCTCACTCGTCCGATTTTTACAAAGGTTGACCGTGTCTTCCGATTCTTTTGTGTGCTTCTTCTGTGCCAGATCAACGAGGGTCTGAGTCGACTGGAGGTGGAGAGCTCAGGATGGCTCAACTACGAAGCTGTCACCAATCCGTACCTGGAAATTGTGATTGAGACCTCGGACAACGGCAGTCCGCCCTTGGCGTTCAACCAGACGATCAACATCACCATCATCGACATCAACGAGCCACCATCTGCCATTCGCCTGATTCACATCAGCAACTTGAGAGAGGATGCGCCGGACGGGACAATAATCGGGCAGCTGGTCTGCACGAATCCAGAACTCAACCAGACGGTATCCTACACCATCAACGAAACAAGTCACCAGGATGGCGGCCCAGAGTTTGGCACTTTCACCAATGCCACTGGCACGTATATTCAGATGAAATCCCGTGGGAACTTCACAGAGTACCAAGACAATTTTGTGTTCGAAGTGAACGCTACCGACAGTGGTTGGCCGGCGGAGTGGACGCTGGGTACTGTCGAGTTCAACCTCACACTGCTCGATCCGTGCTCGACGGGAGAGCTGCTGTGCGGTAATGGCTCCGACTGCGTGCGTGTCAACACATCGGCAGGCTACTGTGAATGCCAGAGTGGATTCCTGCTGGACCCGTACCTATTGTCTTGCGTGGAGGTGGATGACTGTTTCTACAATCCGCAGGTTGTGAACTTTTCACCCGACGAGTTATCAACCGTGGTCACCACAGTTGCTGTTGGTGCAACCCCCATGCCGAACAGTACCATGCAGCCTATCTGCCGCAACAATGCCACATGCACAGACCTGACAGACGGCTACAATTGTACTTGCCTGCCGGGTTTCACGGGATTTGAGTGCGATTCACGCATCGACCGCTGCCTGACGCAATCATCCAACTGCATGAATGGCGCTAGCTGCGTCGATAGTCCATCGCAGATGGCGTGTGTATGCGCGGCGGGATACACGGGTATCACTTGTGCCTCGGACGTCGATGAATGTGCCACTGCTAAGTGTGGTGCCGGCCAGTGCATAGATGCTATCAACGCATACAGTTGTCAGTGTCCCGAGTCGTACACCGGCCAGAACTGCGAATACCTGACCAGTGCTTGCGCCGTCGACTCGTGTGGACAGGGCGATTGCGTGCCCTTGAAGGCGGACGTCAGCGCGCCAACTTCGGGAGACGGCACCTCTAGTATCATTGTGTCCGGTGGAGATACCGAGCATCCTGCTGAGGGCCCGAGCTATGTGTGTGTGCCTGTAAGCAGTGCAGTTCACGATCATTTCGAAAATGGCTCGCTGACCGCCGATGACCTTAAAGCATGGAAGGAGCTCATTTTGGGTACACCTCTTCCCAGTGGAGATGGGGAATTTGATTATGCTGATGATGTGTATATATTGGATGGAACAGGAGGCGGTGAAGTCATCCTTGCCGTCATATTAAACGGAGAGCCTGTCAACCCTGTACTGGTGAATGTAGCCTTGAGTGGCTCCTGTCGGAACACCAGCGAACTGCCACCCGAGGTTGTGGCCCTGTGCGGGAGATGGAAGGACATCTCACCTGTCTCGGCACAGCCGATTGTACTAACTACGAGTTCACCAGAGGCACAACGTTCCTCGTCCAAAACATCAACGCCACTGGTGTGGGGAGTTGCCGCTGGTCTGATTGCTGCGCTGCTGCTCATCTCTATTCTAGTGACGTGTCGTGTGTATACTGCCAAGAGGAAGCAGCGTAATGAGTTGCACCGCGAGAGACTCCGGACAGACCCATTCATGAATGACCGCGCGGCGGACGAGCATGCAGCAGAGTTTATGTACGATAGTCCCACACAAGGCGGAGAGACCTTCGTACCGAATCCTCTGTACCACGACCCGAAGATTGGCATCTATGGAGAGAGTGGACGGGAGGAGGTGAGTCTAAGGTTCTAGCTCCTTAAGGCAGTAAGCCCATTGCACAATGACCTAATTTGTACCGCAAACACTCCACACAGCCACCTAGGCATCGTTGTGTAGGGTGCTGAACAGTGTGTTGCTGGTTCCAGTGTACTCACATGCTTTACTCATGGATTCCATATTAATTTTAGCGATGCGCAATAAGTTTATTGCATCCTTCTTCGGACATTGTAGGTAATAGGCAAATCTTAAAGGACGATACGACGGTGCAAGTAGCACCGGGCGCCGAAGAACATCCACGCCAGAAAATCACCAAATTTTAAGAACGTTTCGGGCATTAAGAAAATATTTAAGAAGTAGTTCATGTCACACTGCATGCACAGTGTACGGGTCATACCTCATGTTCTATGTCCACTGCATGCACAGTGTACGGGTCATACCTCATGTTCTATGTCCACTGCATGCACAGTGTACGGGTCATACCTCATGTTCTATGTCCACTGCATGCACAGTGTACGGGTCATACCTCATGTTCTATGTCCACTGCATGCACAGTGTACGGGTCATACCTCATGTTCTATGTCCACTGCATGCACAGTGTACGGGTCATACCTCATGTTCTATGTCCACTGCATGCACAGTGTACGGGTCATACCTCATGTTCTATGTCCACTGCATGCACAGTGTACGGGTCATACCTCATGTTCTATGTCCACTGCATGCACAGTGTACGGGTCATACCTCATGTTCTATGTCCACTGCATGCACAGTGTACGGGTCATACCTCATGTTCTATGTCCACTGCATGCACAGTGTACGGGTCATACCTCATGTTCTATGTCCACTGCATGCACAGTGTACGGGTCATACCTCATGTTCTATGTCACTTTACGGCCTCAGACTACTACTTCAAGTATAAACAAAGAAACTGGAATTTTGAAAATAGAACATTACAAGCCTGAAAAGCAACTGTTCTTTGGCACCCGATGTCACAGTACCATATCCCACCGTGGTTCCTGTCAAATTTAGCCACCAAATATGCCCAAATCGTCATTAGTCCGGCATTTAATTTAGTCCAAAAGCTCCACCGACGAAAAAGACGAAATTATATTCGAGACGAATATTTCTGCTTATACAGTAGATGATGCAACTAAATTCAAAGTCGACCGTAAAAGAACTTTGCAGAGCTGTGCACGCTTCAATGTAGATTAACATTTCACAGTCTTCAAATAGATTTAGTTCACCTGGCGTGCATGTGGCAGAATTCACCTGGCATGTGAGTAGATGCCAAGCTAGGATTGTTATACTCGAGCCGTGTCCGTTGCTCCTGCTCCGTCTCATGATTGTGAATTATGTGTGTGTGTGCCTGGATGTGTGTGTGTGTGTGTGTGTGTGTGTGTGTGTGTGTGTGTGTTTGTGTGTATGAGTGTGTGTTTGAAAACTTTGCTTAGTGAGCAATGAACTGGCTGCACAGTGCGCTTGATTGCGGTACCAACATGACGTGTGATTGGCTTGTCATCCACGGTCTCTGCTTGTGTTTGTTGCTCGATACGTGTAGGTTTTCTCACCGGTGTATGCTGGAGGCTCTACTGACGGTGGCTTGAATGGTAAGGGATGTAATCTACGCACAGTAAAAGCAGAAGTATAGACATTGCTTTGATTCAGGTTGTTTCCTACTTTGTAGGATACTTCCGGTAGTGATATTCTTACTATGACCACTCAGAGATGGCTGGATTACTTGCGGTTCCTCCGAAGTCGCGGGTACAAGTACACTGTATGTGATTCCCACGATTCGGTTCAATCAACGATGTATGTCGTTGACAAAGGGTGCCTCAGAGCGTTACTTGAGACATGTGCATTTAGGTGTAGCCAGCCCAGTTATAGCAACTTTGTTTTGATTGGGTGCGGCCAACTTGTACGTAAACCAAGTGGGGACTGTAAGTTTGAGGTTGTTGCTAGTGTAGTACATGTAGTATATGTACCTATTATGTGTAAAGTATGGTGGATTTATATTTGCACTACTCAAGTATGGCTAAACACTAAAACAGGTTTTGTGTAATGTTGATATTGCTCTGCTATTTCGCAGAAGATACCTATGCGCGCATCGAGCAAGATTCAGGTGAGTTGATGAGGTGCTAATTGTAGGGTGTTTATATAGTGCTCATGAGCAAGCTAGTCGCGCTTGAAAACATCTGCACGCTCGTCGTCAGAATGAGGACAATACCGGAAAGCACAATGATGCCGGGAGGAAAAATGAATGTACTCAAGAAGTGGATGCCAATTTCACCGCAGACAGGAGTCAGTCAGACTCACTTTTCTACAGTCGTCGCCAAACAATCCGGCCGGCCAATGCTATGCTAGCTGTAAAACATACATCATGGGCTGTGTGCACTACCACTTCTAGCCACTACCTGTTGTTGCACGGCACACGCAATGATTACACCCTGCTGCCGGGCCTGCTTGCAGACACTCAGTGCCGCAGTGCTCGCTCTACTGTGCTCTACTCAGTGTGTGTGTACTGTGCTCTACTGTCACGCTGTTCTGTGCGGGTACAGTAAAAGCATGCATGCCACCATAATGCATGAAGCACCGCCGGTGCCACCGTGTACCACCATACCACTCACTGAATCCATGGTATCAGGGTGGGCCGGATTTCAGTACTGCCATACCACTACATGTGTGTCACTGTTCTCAGGCCTGTAACTGTTATGCTTGTAACTGTTATGCTTGTAACTGTTATGCTTCTACTGCTCGTATGGTGCAGCTGCTGGCCTCGGAGTGAGTAATCCTATCTACAACATGGCTCGCGCTGACAACGACGCTGAGCCACTGTACGACAGCCCTCGGGATGCTTTGGCTCCAAAGAGCAATGATGGAACGGCACAGAAATCGGACGCCTTCCAAATTGATCACCGGGCCGACCCATTCTCGGTCAACGCTGATGGCAACGAGTATGACGATCTACAACGTCTGGTGGATGATATACAGTGGGGAGATGAATAATACTGTCCTACCGGTTGTTTCTTTTGCCAAATTCTCATCCGATTTTGCGTTTAGTCCTAGTTCGTTAGCCAAATTTAGACTTAGACCTCCATCATGATTATAGCTTCCAATTGAATTATTTCTTCTTTTTAGCTCTGCCTGTAAGGCCAGTCAGGGCATGTCAAAGGTGTGCTCAATCAAGAGCCACAGTGTATTCACAAATTCCTATTCGCTTATCATACTTTCTCCAAGGGCGGCATCGATTTTGCGTTTAGTCCTAGTTCGTTAGCCAAATTTAGACTTAGACCTCCATCATGATTATAGCTTCCAATTGAATTATTTCTTCTTTTTAGCTCTGCCTGTAAGGCCAGTCAGGGCATGTCAAAGGTGTGCTTAATCAAGAGCCACAGTGTATTCACAAAGTCCTATTCGTTTGTCATACTTTCTCCAAGGGCGGCATGTAAGATCTCGCAGGAAAATATCGGCCCACGCTTACACTACACTCACACACTTTTCAGGCCGACTTTCTTATTCGTGGAACCCTTTGACACAAAGTTTACGACCACTTATCCTACTATTTTTGTTCTTGTTTTGTGAAGCAAATTTATGAATGTGTTCTTTTTCTACTATTTTGTTCTTGTTTTGTGAAGCAATTTCATGAATTTTTTTGTGAAAATATGATCACCATAAGGGTGTCAACGGGAGTAGGGTACCCGTGCTACCCGTAATTAGGGTGGGTATTCGGGTAGCAGTTTGCTCCTGAGGACCCAATAGGGTAGGGGGAGTACGGTGTTTTTACACGCACAGCTATGTTCTTACTGGACACTTTCTATGTAGCGCAAATGCACACTTACTGCAAACTATGTCAAAAATACTCGATAGGGTACCCTTGCCACCCGGACAGAATTACCCAAACTCATTACCTGACCAAACCCCTACCTGTTGCAGCCCTAATATGTATCCGCATTCTGTTGCCTAGTTGGAGGGTCCGTGTTTCTTTCCTCTTGCACTGAATGAAGAATGATCTGAGAAGCACAAGCAAAATTAATGATTTGAATCCTTTTTTCAGTATGGAGAGCAAAGATTGTTGCCTGTGAATGTGATTGAACATGCACACCTGGGCACCGGATGACAAGTCAAAAGCTGTCTCCGCCTGCGTAACAAACTTGTTGTATATGTTGCCCTTTGGTCTGCGCACCTAACTAACTTCCCCCTAAACAACATTATTGTCCTATGCCCATGGTTTCTAAAGGTGATTCAATGAAGAAAAACTGCCAACTTACCTGTCCACTGCAAACGTCAACTACTGTACTTCAGCTTGTATTGTAAAGTTCGACTGGTAGCAGCTCATCGATTGCGTGCTGATTCTCTCACCGGATTGGCAGATCAACTTGTTGACTGTGATCTGCTGGTGAGGAACTTCCAGTTTGAGGCGAGACATTATGCCCTGTACTGAAATAGAAAACTGTACTGTTGTCATCGTTGGATTTGGCACACTGTCCGTCACTGCACAACTTAACCAGGCATCCGTACCTGCACAACAAATTAACCAAGCAAGCAAGCATCCGTAATTGCTCAACATAACCAAGTCTGTGGACAACTGATGGACGGCCTTTGATGGGCAGTCTCGTAGCCAGAGTCTGGTCCTTCTTCGTGATGAATGTAACATGTCTGCTTTCCGTAGATGATGGCACATTTAGTTTCTTCTTGGTGTTAGTCGCCGATTCTTGGTGAGCCTCATTGCGGCTAGAATTGTCTGCTGGGTGGAACGTTGGTTACGGGGATTATTGCTTCTCACGCAACATCCAATGGCAAGTCTCTGAGCAACTGCCAATAGCATCCCGCCGTACTCATGAAACATTCTTGCCTTGATGGCCTGTGGTCAGATGGCAATAGCAAGGTCATGTATTCATGCTGTCACTCGGCGCTTCTTAACGCTCATTGTTTTGAAGTTTTATAGAGAAGATCCACAATGGATGATTTCCACCGCACACTTCCACACTTAGGCTTCACATCAATTACGCTTCCCGTGTATGTACGTGTACGACTGCCCATCTTAACACCTTTCATCATTTCCGAAATGCTCTCCAATAGGGTTTGCACTGTTGTTCAGGCTAGTAGCATCCTGACAGAGGCCGCATTCACCAGTACTTGCTGAATCCTCCAGCGGTGGCATTCACTAGTACTTGCTGAATCCTCCAGCGGTGGCATTCACCAGTACTTGCTGAATCCTCCAGCGGTGGCATTCACTAGTACTTGCTGAATCCTCCAGCGGTGGCATTCACCAGTACTTGCTGAATCCTCCAGCGGTGGCATTCACTAGTACTTGCTGAATCCTCCAGCGGTGGCATTCACCAGTACTTGCTGAATCCTCCAGCGGTGGCATTCACTAGTACTTGCTGAATCCTCCAGCGGTGGCATTCACCAGTACTTGCTGAATCCTCCAGCGGTGGCATTCACTAGTACTTGCTGAATCCTCCAGCGGTGGCATTCACCTACATGTACATGTCTCCCATTCAATTTCTGGAGCAGCTTCATGTCGAACAGTCCTACCTGTTGCAGAATCACCAAATCCAACGCCACCACAAACACATATACATTATACCACAAGTAAGAGAAACCCACACTCATGAATAGAACACAACCGCGCACCTTGACCAACTCCAAGAGAAAGGCAACTCACTCCCGCGCTCCTCGCACATTTTCATAAAAAAAATACTTTTATCTTTGTGTCCCTGTACACAGCTCACTGCCAACCACATATGCACAACTCACTGCATTCATACATGCTGCAGATCAGCAAAAGAATAAAAAGTTATAAGCCGCACTTTGAACACTCAAAGTTCACCCAAAAAAGGGGGATGCTGCTTATACTCCGATGATCAAATTAATGGTAATAAATAGGATAGATGTCTTTATATTTTGTGGCAAAAATTGTGGGGGTGTGGCTTATACTCCCGAGAATACGGTAGGAAGAATGTTGCCATTATCTTAGACGAACTGACTCAATTTCATGCCCCCCAACTTTACTTTTATCTGGTAACCTTCATGGTGACCTCTGAAATTATTATTTTCAAATTAGGGAAGTAAAATCCAAAAGACACTCTACCTGTTTCACTTCAGCTCACCACTTCGGTTGGACAGAACGGCACATGGGGGAGGGGTAGCCATCTGGGTGAAGTCGTCACTCCCCTCCATGCTCATTCCTGAACTCATGTCCCCCACACATGAGATCATCTGGGTTTCTCTCCAGCTGGCCCCAGGTCTCCGCACCGTCTTGGGAGCAGTGTATCGGCCGGGGTCCTGTGCCCCTGGCGATCTTACCTTAATCGATCATCTCTACAACATCCTCCCAGAAGCTAGACACCAGGGCTCCCACATTATCCTAGCTGGCGATTTCAACGTGCACAACCGGGCTTGGCTGAACAGCTCGAAAACTACGCCTGCAGGCGAGGCTCTCGAAGATACCTGCGCTGCCCATCTTCTTGTCCAGCATGTCACAGTACCGACTCGTGGAGACAACCCGCTAGATCTCATAATGTCAACGTTCACGTCCCCAGTAACTACACGTATACTTCCGCCCCTCGGTCAATCTGACCATGCAGTTGTACTGTCAGACTTTTCTTCCGTGCTCCCTAGACGTGAACAGTGAACAGTGTTTCGCTACACCAGGGCAGACTGGGATCGCCTCAGGGCGCACCTTCGCAACGTGGAATGGGGTGATATCATCACGGAGGACCCAGAAACTTCCTGTGAGCAGGTTACCGCTTCAATTACTGCAGCTGTTGCACAGTTTGTCCCATCCAAAGTTCTGGAAACGAGGCCTTCCGATCCGGTATGGTGGACGCCTGAATGCACCCAGACCGAGAGGGAGAAGGAGAAGCGCTGGCGCGACTGGAGAAAACACTCTTATGACCCAGCACTTCAGCAGGCATTCACCGATTCCGTGACTCTAGCGATCGCCACCCAGTTCCGATCACGACGTGCAATGGAGGACAGCCTCCGTCGCAGCCTCTCAACTGGGTCCCTCAGAGACAAATAGTGGTGGACGAAGTTGAAGAACGCTGCTGGCAACCGCACACAGCCCGAAATTCCCCTAGTTGTCGACTCTGACGGCCGCGAGTGGGCAACGAGCTCAGAGAAAGCAGAGGCATTCGCTCGCTTCTTCTCGAAGAAATGTATCGTTGCCAGTCCGGACCTTGTGGAGGCTGACCTACCGGACCCTGCTCCCTCAGAGGCTCCACCTCTTTGCACCATCCGCTTCCGCCCACAGGTTGTCCGCCGCCTCCTGGCAAGGCTCAACGTCTCCAAGGCTACCGGGCCTGACGGTATTTCTGCTCGCGTCCTTAAGGAATGTGCTCATGAGCTCTCAGAGCCACTGTCCAAGTAACAGTTATTTGCTTTATGCTTCCGGTCTGGAGTCCAACCTAGGATGTGGAAGACGGCCAACGTGATCTCGAAAGTAATGGAAACTCTTGTAAACAGACACATCGTAAACTATTTCGAAGACCATCATCTGCTCACGTCGCACCAGTTTGGAGTTCGCAGAGGCCTCGGAACATCGGACGCTTTGCAAGCTCTCCAAACTGCCTGGGCAAGCGCTGTGGGCTGTGGAGGGGCGGCTCGTATCCTTGCTGTGGACATCGCAGGAGCGTTTGATTGTGTCTCGCATGTCGGCCTCCTCCACAAGGTGCGTAGCCTAGGCATAGATGGTCCGCTTCAGAGATGGCTGGCCTCGTACCTGGACACCCGTTCCCTACAGTGCCTCGTTGGAGGGCGGACGTCATCTAGGTATACGACCTCCACTGGAGTCCCGCAGGGAAGCATCCTTGGACCAACGCTTTTCCTGGCCTATGTCAACGACGCGCCAGATGTTCTCGCTGACGGCGCCAGCTTGGAAGCCTATGCTGATGATACAACTTTGTACAGCTTAGTCACCTCCCAGCAGACCCCAACAGTCGCCTCGCAGTCACTGCAGGTGTCCGTTGACCGACTGCACGAGTGGGGTCGTACGTGGAAAGTGATGTTTGAACCGACCAAATCCCAGGCCATGACAGCCAACCTCAGACGCACCGGCTTAGATCTCCCCCACTCCTGTTTGGTGGCACACTGGTGCCCGAGACAACCACCATCACCCTCCTGGTGTGAAGGTGGACGCCAAGTTGACCTTCAGCGATCACCTACGCTCCGTAGCCACCCGTGCACGCCAACGGCTTGGGGTCCTAAACAGAGCCGCCCGCATACTCGACCCCGCCGGCCGGACGACCGTATACAAGGCGTTCGTACGACCAGTCATGGAGTATGCGCCTCTTGTATGGATGGGAGCTGCGCAGAGTCACCTCCAGCATCTGAACAATGTTCAGCGCCGCGCGCTTCATGCTATCGGCCCTGGGGCACACCTACCCAGCCTGGCCATCCGCCGCACTGTTGCCTCGCTTGCCTGAATGTACAAGCTGCACTACTTGCCTGGTCCTCCGCAGCTGCTCTCTGTGTTGCCACCGCGCCACATCTCTACTAACCCCAGAACTCGCAGCGAGCACGGTGCCGTCAGTGGCCATGACCACCAGCTCCAACACCAGCTGCCTGCATCTGCCCCACTGGCACTGAAGCGCTCGTTCCCACACTGCAGCATCAGCGATTGGAACTCCCTCCCTGCCGCTCTCCTATCCCAGCCTCCCCACAGCAAGAGAATGCAATCATTCAA